AGACTGCGACGAAGTCACGACAAACAGTTCCGGCTGGTAAAAACAAGAACGAAGTACAGAAGCTCCTCATTCCTGCCGAAGACAATAGGGGACTGGAACAAGCTTCCAAAAGCAACAGTTGAGGCGGCTACACTCGATACATTTGTGTCTATTGCGTCCTGTATTCCAACCCCCAGTTCATAACACCACTGCTGAGTCGCCCTTGCAACCAGTGAAGTATCCCATTGAAACCCATGGACAGTAACATCGCAAACCTCTCTGAATCATAGGAGCCAGAATGATCAATTCATTGATCGTGGGCCCTTAAAATAAAGAAGAAGAGAAGAAGGGAGGTGGATGATGTCCTGCTGAAGCTGAGGAGCAACTCCGAGGAAACATTAGAACGTTTTTTTTTTTACAATCTCCTTACTTGCAAAATGTTTTTTAAATGTTTTAAGTAGGCAGCTGGGGGATTATACTGACGGTGAGCTGGCGGACCCCCAACCAGAACTGATGGCCAAGACTTCATCTGCTCCAGTTCACAACATCTTCTGTGAGCGTGTGTTGGGCATGGTGGATGCCCAGGTTAAGAGGGCACCCAACACATCCATGGCTTTTGTTGATGCCAAGGTGAAGTGTCTTGCCAAATAGACAATGGAATGGTTGGTAGGGAAACCCAGTTCGGAACAGGTTAGGATGATTTCTTTTGCAATTAAAATTTCAAAACATTTTTAAAAATATAAAAATACTACAGCTGTATAGAGCCTGGAGAATAGATTACAAAAACATCAAGATCAACTTTCTAGCTCAAGTGGTTCAAAAGTTATGAATTTTTTAGTAGGGACCTCAAAACCACTTTTTCACTATGGGATTTTCCTCCACATTTTGTGACCCTCATTTTGCCTTTTTTTAAACACCTATAACTTTATTATAAAATGAGACAAAAATATAATATTTGCAGGGAACATAGTTAAAAAAGAGTACTTCTAAATAAAGCCACAAAATATAAGATAGTTTTTTTTAATATGACGCAAAAATTTAGGGAAAAAAATAAATTATTTTCCCATTAAGAAATGTTTAAATATGCTGACTCATCACTTATTTGAAATTAATTAATTAATTTTGTTTAAATATTTTTTTTTAAATTTCCCAAAAAATCATAATAATAACAATATTCTTAAGATATTAATTTCAAATTTTCTGTGGAATTGTTTAACATTTATAAGTATAAACAAATAATAAAGGGATTATTTGTTTTATTTAGTTAAAACTGACGATTACACTTTTTATTTTACCATTTTCTATATATGCATTTTAGTCCCATATCATATGAATGTCTGAATATGACCAAAAAATAGTATGTCATTTATTTTAAGTTAGTAAAGGTGTTTCACAAATCAACATGTATTGATAGAATAAACTTTGGCAGTTGATTGAAAATAAATTAAGTTCTAGTAATTTACTTGAGGTAAGTATAAGTTTTTATGATTGTTCTTTAGTAATACCTTAAGTAATTCTTGGATTATTGTGGCAGAAAGTGTGTTATTTCTTTAAGAATACTGAGGATTATATGATATTTTTCATGTGAAATATTGTGATTTGTGAGTGAATATAGGATATTTCAATATCAAAGGTAAGAGAATATCTTTTTACAATTTTTATTTAGTTTTTTTTTTAAATTTATAAAAAATATAATTACAAAAATATGTAGTAGGTCCTACAATAATAAGTTGGAATGAGGCTAGCTATGCTAGGCTCACAGGGGACTCACACACATATATAAATATATAATAATAATATTATAATTTTATTATATATAAATATAGAGTAATATATAATAATAAAAATACTATAATTTTATAATTTTCTATTTAATTAATTGTCTAAGTTGTAATGTTAATCACATTCCCCAATTAATTCTCTAAAAAGCAGCAGATCATATGACAAATAAGTATTGGTGCTATTCAATTCTGTTAATTTGTTTTAAAATGAATTATTATTGACTAATGTGCTGGATTTCCAAAGTACATCAAGTCATTTACTTTAAAAAAGTCAATTATCGATAATAGGTAATTTTGGGACACATGTGACAAAAATTTTGTATGTAGATATCTTACCAATGGACCAATGTATTGGCCCTAACCTCACGAATTTTGGATATGTTGTAGTTTATAAATTCATCTAAAAGTGATATTTTTTTTTAAAAATGTGTGTTTTCCAAAAAAAAAATATTAGATACTTTGATGAAACAAGGGAGACTACTATTTTTTTTGTATCGGAAATGGCTGTCGGCGCCGAAAAATCCGAGTTTTTAATTTTCCGATGTGTGTGTCTATTTATTATTAAATTAGTTCTTTCCACATATATTTGAGTTCCGTTTCCGGCCTTATAATTTGGAAGACATCTTGGCCTACATTTCTAGCCAGCTATTTTGCTTTTTTCAATCGACCTTTATTTTGAAAATCTTTGGTATATATAAGGCATCTTCGCATACAAAATTTTTTGTGAAATAATAAGATAAGGTCCTTTTTTATTAAATCTGTATGAGCATTAGATATTGATCTATATCTGTGCCAAGTTTCATTGATGTAGGTCGTGTCTCACGTTTGTTACACTTGTCACAGTGACCCATATCACCATAAGGTGGCTCAGCCAAATTTCGACATGGCGTGGGCCACGCCCCCTTTTTAATGGCGGAAGTTGCCGATACTTAGGAAATATTTAATTATTACCACTATATACATCAAAATATTTTATATTTTGTGTTTCAGAATGCATTTTGAAGACATTTAAACTGGAAATGTTTTAATTTGAGCTTTAAAAACCCTGCAGAGTCCATATTATAAATGATCAGAATTTTCCCTGTGCAACACGTTGTCATTGGCAACCATTCACAGCCACTTGCATAACGGCTACGTCGTAGTACTATCTCAGAGTTTCATTCATAAGAGTTTGCCGTGTGCAAAAGCTATTAAACCATTGGTCAGGGAAAGCTTTTATTAATTATTCATGTGCCAAAGTTGAAAGTTTAAAATAAGTCGACCCTAAACAGTATTTTAGTGATAGGGAATGCGTTGCCTTATATAAACTATATAGTCATTGCGCATGACGCGATCAGTGGAATGAGGTCACAGAATGTGGAGATGAAGTCCATGTTAAAAAAGGACAAACCAAGTCGTACTTTAAAAATTCATAACTTTAAAACTACAACAGCTAAAAATATGATTTTGGTGTTATAATTCTGTTTAAAATTAGCTCTATTCAACTGTGCCATTGGTTTATTTTTAAAAAATGTTTACATTTTTGACAAAAGTATCTAAAAATATGAAGGAGTGAATTTAGCTATTATTTACCTTCAATTTTCAAAGTCAAACCATCACATTTTTACTAAGAGAAAAGTGTCAAATGAACAACAAACATGCCTGCTTTAAGTTGAGGGCGGAATTAGAATTAACTAACAAAACTAACTTCAGCAAAAAAATTCCAAACAACACTACCCTCGGTAAATTAAAAAGTGGAGGTCGCCATTTTGACAACGAAATCACGATACCCGTTTTTCGGGTAGTTCCGGGCCATTCCCAGGTCCCTACTTAACTTAAGTCTTAAGACTTAAGACTTAAACTTAAGTCAACTAAGTCACGCAATCAATGACAGTAATATATATATATATATATATAGGCTATATATCATATATCAGAAGACAAATAAGGCCAGCAATGATCAATGACTGGATCTATTTACTAATCTCAAATACCTGTAACCTAAAATCTAGAAGATCATGGGCGAACTGTATAAGATATCGTTTATATGGTTCTGATCTAAGTGAACATGCTACGCGGGCAGCCATTTTGAAACATATGAAGGTGTAAAAACGTGATTAAGCTGTATGTATGCATTATTTAAGATTTCTTGGTAGTACAAGATACAAAATAACATTTTAATTTAGCTTAATAAATTAAATTTAATTTTAAAAAACTTTTTTGATTTAAACGTTTAATATTGATATCATTTTTTTAGTTGGTTTCTTCATATAAATGAAACATTGTTTTTTCTCTTTTGGCTAAAGATGTTTTAGATTTTACAATAAATCACCGGGTATTTCCAATCATGACGTATTTGTTTTGGAGTAAAACTGAAAGTAGCCTTGACTTGCAAAAAAAAATAACAATAAACAAATGGCTCTTCCTGGCTTTGAACTTATTTACTCAAGTGTAGCACAACAAATCCGATCTACAGATGATGCAGCTATTGTCGCCATTCATTGGAATTTAATTTCAAACGGTTTAAAATGCTGTGGTGCTGGAGAAACTTGGCCAGAAAGACAGGTCCGTAGCCGTGCCGTAGTTTAAAATTATTTATTTACGCAGTAATATGTTAATTATGTTAGATGTAGAGTATTTTTTGTAGAGTCACCAGAGTTAGAGTGGTACTGGTAGTAAGCACAATACTCAATAACTATCTTACTCACGCTTCATTGTATTTAGAAATACCAGTTGTTATAATTAAATAAATTAGGACCGTCCAACGCTGACAATATCAACATGACTTTAACCATTTGCTGAATCATGAATGAGCTACTGCCATAAAGTAGTAAAGGCAAAGGTTGATAAGTCGCGTGTATTATAATTTGTGTTGAATTGTTTTTTCTTTGAATTACCGTGACTGTGGCTTTAGTTTTAACAGGTATATAATGACCAAAGGGACACAGCCACCAACTCATATTTACACTAGACTAGAATTGTTGCAAACTCATGATCATGTTCAAGTGTTGCCATTATATTTAATCATTATACATTGGCATCTGTCCAAATTAAATTTACAAATATACTTGATACTGGGCACTTTTACACTCATAATATAACCACGTGTGAAGTTTAATGTAATTCGTGTATGCTGCCTATAAATCATTTTAAACCTCAAAGTCAAAGGCAACAGTGATATTGTTCTTTTTAGATATTTTTAAAGTATATTTTTTCAACCATAAGCAAAGCTGCAGGCTTTAAATTTTTTCTCATGAACCAGTTCTAAAAAATATTTAGTTATTTATTGAAATAATCGAAACACCAAAGTATAATATAAAGTAAGAGTAAGTGTAGAACTGGAAACCAGGGCTAGTTAACAAAAACATGTTTACGTATATGTTTTGGTTGTATCCTTTGCACACTAATTCCAAGATCAGTACCCATCTTAAAGCTACGACACCAAATTACATCAATTATAATAATTTTTGTTATAATTCTATAAATATTTATGACTAAGCTGAATTGAACTATTTATTTGTTATGAAGTGATATAAAAATTATCATTAAATTTTTAAAAACAAATAAAGATATTTGACATTGGGTGTGAATCAGACAAAATAATAAGTCAGTGCACAAATGACAGCTGCTTTAAACTAAGGTTGACCAGATATGCCAAATTAGTTTCTAAAGGTTTCTAAAGTGTAGTCAGCAAATCATTGCCTTGGTAGTTAGCTGAAATTTTAAACTATTTTTAAAGTACTAGACATACGCATTGATGATTAACTTTGAAATCTTCGAGGCAACAACTCTCCATGTTTCACTTATCCCATGGACCTGAAATCCACTCTTAAGTCTAGAATAGGAACACACTTTATTCTTTCAAAGTTTTGGTGAACTTTCAATTTCATTTTCTGAGCTTTATGTAGTTAAAATATATTTATTTATACTTCTTCATAAAATTTTTAAAAAATTGAATCAAGGGAAGCACTTTATTACCTCAAATTTTGAATTATTTTTCCAGTTAGTAACTTAAAATTAAAAAAATTAAAAAATAAAAAGTCTGATAGAGAAATTGTTAAAGATTCTGCCATGTAAAAATCCTCAGCTTTTATAAGAATTTTTTTTTCAATTTGCAGAATGAAAACTACACAGGATCTGAGACGCTGCCACCTGGATGGAACAGTGATGACAGCATTTATGCACTTCGTTATGTTGACCCTACAAGTAACAGAACATATCTAATGAAAGCATTGGCAATAGATGGAGCTCTCATATTACATTTGTTGGTATGGAAAATAGCTTTCAAATAAAGACAAAATGAAATTTAAAAAGAAAAAAATTAATACTGAGTTAAATAAGCATTTAAATCAGTCCGTGATTACAAATGGGGTTTGTTAAATTCAACATTGCTAACTCTCCAATAACTTATTTTACCAGCTCTAATTTCTGAATATGAGAAACCGTCTCTAAAGAATTATTTTTATTACATTAAAAAAACTATTTGGGTTTGATAAAAATTTATTTAGCTTTTTAGGCCTAAAGCAGTAAATAATTTTGTGAAGCTTTATCAAAAGAGTGAATAATGGGAAAATGATTTTTTTTTTCTTCAGAGATCTTTTGATGAGAAAACAGTAAGCACTACAATCAGAAGTCGAGATTTTGTGAATGAAGACAGGTCCAATGTTACTAGGTAATCATATTAAAACATAAAGTGACAAAATGAATTAATTTTATCTTAAAAGAATACACTGACTTAAAAAACAATACAATATCCCTATAAACTAACAAAATAAGCAAGTGTAACTAATTTTAATTTGGCAATGAGTATCACAAATTATCAATTTGTCATAATTCAGCATTTAAAAGAAAATGCATCAGATATGAATTTGTAATATTTATTTGATCAGCTAAAATTTTAGAAATATGTCTTGTTTTTAAAAATGAATCTTAATACTAAAAAATATGTTAAATTGGAAAGAGCAGGGAATCATCAAAATTCAATATTTTAAAAATTAACTACTTTGCCACTGAACCTCAGATCTATAGAGATAGCAGAACACAGTATGCAGCTAAACATAATGCAAAATTTTTTAAAAACAATTTTTAAATATAAAAGCTTTACAATTTTGAAATTATGTCCTTAAATCATTGTATCTGCAATTACAATACTAATAGTGTAACACTTGCATAAATATATAACCTTACACATTTTAAGTTATATAATATTTTTTCTGTAAATAATGTTTACATTTTTTTCATAGTGCATTTAACAATTTGAAGGAACTTAATGGAACAGTTACAAAAGAATTGTATGCTAAAGTTATGGATGCCAACAAGCAACAAAGTACAGAACGGAGATCTGACTCCAGTACATCACAGAATCAATCTGGAAGATCCCCTCTGATGGAAGATCCAAGACGTGGAAACTCTTCCGGGGGAATTGGGTTTATCCCACCCAGACAACCAATGAGGTAAATTATTCACCATTGAAACATCTTAAAAGGAATTGGTTGATGTTGACATCTCTACCATTCATCAGTTTCCCTCATTAGATTTTCCCATTAATGGTAATTTAGAATTGAAAAAAAAATCTAACATTTTGTAAACTTGATGCACATATGCACTCTAGTTTTATTTAATTTTTTTTTTTACTTTCCATTTCTAGTTAGTTTAGCAAATGAAATATACATTTCTACCAGCTTTCAATGTCTACTATTTTAAAAAGGGAACACAAAAGTTCAATATTTTTTTTCTTTTGGGGTAATAAAATGTTTGTTCCATTTTTAAAAGAAAATCGTAGTATATTTCTTCTTCTATATTTTGAGGGCCCACGATCAATGAATTGATCATTCTGGCTCCTATGTTTCAGAGGGGTTCGCGATGTTACTGTGCATGGTTTTCAAGGGGATACTTCACTGGTTGCAAGGGCTACTCAGTGATGGTGTTATGAACTGGGGGTTGGAAGACAGGAGGCAATAGACACAAATGTGTCAAGTGTAGTCGCCTCAACTGTTGCTTTTGGAAGCTTGTTCCAGTCCGTTATTGTCTTTGGCAGGAATGAGGAGCCCCTGTATTGAGTTCTTGTTTTGTTAGCCGAAACTGCACATCGTGGACTCATTGCTGTCTAGGGTGGAGATGGACGAGTTTCTGTTTGATGCTGGAGCAGTGGATCAGCCCATTTTTGATCTTGTACAACATGGAGAGCCTGGATAGTCTTCGTCGCTCTTCCAATGGTGACCAGCCCAGTGTTTCTAGCATGCTGCCAACACTTAAGGTGTTTCTGTAGTGGTTAAGTACAAAGCGTGCGGCCCGACGCTGGACCGCCTCCAACCTGTCGACGCTTTTCTGGGTAAATGGGTCCCAGACTGTAGATGCATACTCTAAAAGCGGCAGGACAAAGGCTTTATAGGCTTTTTCTTTCACGCTTGAGTTTCTGATCTTTAGATTTCGCCTTAGGAACCCCAGGTTCTTGTTTGCCCGGTTGCACACATCATTATTGTGCTCGTTCCCAGCGGACCTCTCTTTGAATGGTAACACCCACAGCTCTTCTGTTGCCGCATTATGCTGAATCTCCTGCATGTGTCAGCTCAGCTCTGTTGTTGCACTTCTCAGGCTATCCCAGTCTGCCTTGGCATAAATGGGGATTTCTCGCACAGTCTGCTTCTTTTTTAGTGGGCTGACCTGAAATTCGCTGTATGGTATGCAGTGGTCTAATATTTAAAAAGTTTTCTATTATTACAGTAACATAAGCAATTAATTAATTATATAAATTGATTGTGTGTGTATGCGTTATAGAGTTCACAAAGTTAAAATGCTTCAATTTAATTTTTTTCATTAACTTAAAAAAAGTATGAAAACTAACATTTCAATTTTTTTTTTTAAAAACTCTTATGGATACAGACCAGACTTTAATGACCCATTTAGTGTGGGACGGGCTGACCTAGATCCACTGGGTGGTGGATTTGGTGGTGGTATGTTCATGGATCCTCGTAACTTTACAAGTCCAGGTGGCTTTCGACCTGGTGGTTCAATGGGTGTCCAACCTCCAGGATTTCCACCGTAAGTATTTACACTTGTGATAGTTAATTTTAAAAAAAACCGAATAGCTTTAGTGTTAATTAACCAATTTTCATATAACTTAACCATCTTTGAAGAAATAAATATAAAGACATTGATTTTTTAATTAATTTTTTAAAACAATATTTAGTAAATAAATTCTTGTAAAATTTATATTTGCCATTCATTCCACATGTGATATTGGGTTACCGGAAATTAGATCGAAAGAAATTTTGTCAACTGTAAATTGATTGACGGTAATTTGAAAGAACGTAAATTTGGTCAAATCTTTTTTTCGGTTCACATGTTAAAATTTTCATCAAATTTCTTTTTGAACGCACTATACTATACAGTAAAACAAAATAATGCGTTCAAAAATAAATTTGAAGAAAAAATTTAAATATTAAAAACTAAAAAAAAGATTCAAACAAATTTCCAGATACGATGATATTGAGGTAGCAACAAAATTAAAGAGATTTATATAAAATTAAGCTTGTGGAAATTGCTTTTGTAAGCAGAAGCTTGAATCAAAAGTTAAAGATTAATTGAAACTAGTAATACTCAAACCCAATGATCTTGTCGAGAGCTCATTTTTGGGGGATTTTCTATAAATGTATTTTATAAGTAAGTCCAATAGAAAATGATACTTTAGGCTCTAATTCTAATTTTTTCAATGAACACATTTCTCACAGTGGTTCTATTCCCCCTGGTGCAAGATTTGACCCAGTTGGCCCAGCAGGAATGAGACCAATGTAAGTTTCATATTTAATGTTGAGACTGATGTAAAAAAGAATTACACTTGGCACTTTAGTGATAATGTCACGTAAAGGTGACATTTTATGTAAGGATATTAAAGAAATGTTTTTATAAAACTATGACATTCCTTCCAGGCCAGATCCAGATCATGAGAGGCCCCCTGACGGTTTTGATGACATGTTTATGTGATGAACATCAGATTCTGTCCGTGACTAGTGGACTGATTGTAACTATGGTTCAATGAAGATTTGTCAATATAAACTTTTGGGAAAATGGTAGCTTATTTTCTAATCCATATACAAAAACATAATCGAGATTGAAACAAAAAAAAAATTTTTGGCGGGGTGAGGGGGGTGGTGTCTTAATACTTGTGCATATACTAAATATTTGAAAATCAAAGGCACAATTTTTTTTCTTTTACTATAAGATGGCATTGTATGAACGTTCTGGGATGTAAGCAAAGTTATTGAACCACAATGCACTGTTGTTATTGATTTGTTTTTTTTAAATACTTTTTATTTCATCCAAGTTTAATAAATACTGATTGAATTTTAAATTTGTTTTAGCACTGTGTGTTTTGTATTTTTTCAATTGAGAATTTAGAATATTAGTAGAATATTAAAAATATGTTAAATACTATTTATGTAAGCTCATCCTCAAGTCCAAAATCTAAGTAGTAAATTTAAAAACCACATTGAAGAAATATGTAAACTCAAGACAAATATAATATTTGTTTATTTTCATTCAGCATCAGTTCAATCCTTAAAGCATTCAAGAAAACCTGTAAAATTTTGTATGGACTGTAAAATTATAAAATTTAGCACTAAAACTTGGTACAACATATTGTCAGATTGCATTATTTGTCATGTACGAGTGCTCCTGCTAGATCTAAATATGAATAATCAAGATGTAACTCCTAAACCATTTAAAATTCATACCTAATGATTTTAAACTTCCTGTAAACTAATTTGGTAAAACAAAATTATTTTGTCCAGAGTTAAAATGACACCAATCTTGAAAAAATCAATAATTTGAAGAAAAATAAAATGTAGAAGGGCATAAAATAACTGGCATGCTATTATTATAAAAAAAGTAGAAATCTGACTAAATAAACTGATATGCTATAGAAAAGTTGAATATAAAACTGCATGGAAATGTATCAATTATTATGAATAAGCACAGAGTGACTTTTAAAATTATTACTATATGTGACAGGAATTCCATTGCTTAATATTAGTTCGGTTGCTCAAATTTATCACTTGTTCAAATTTTTCACTAACATTTTTAACATTTTCCGGATATCACTGATATTGTCAGTTAAGAAAACATTTTATGTTTCATATAATAAAAATGGTTAATATAGTAAAACTTTAAAGATATATTTCATTCTAGAAATCAAGTGGGCAAGAAATGTATGAATTGAGGTGTTTTTTATGATTTGATCAAAGCTGTTATGTCAGATAAAAATCAAGCACAAAACAATATAGCACAGATGAACTCCATCTAAACAAATTTTGTTAAGCTATCAATAAATCCAAAATTGCAGACGTAGGAAGGATTTGTGAATAAAATTATTTTTTAAAATGTAACAATGAGTACACAGTGTAAGATCCATGTTATTTTTACATCAATAATTAAACAAGTCAGTCATTTATACAATTGACATATTTCAAATGAGTTTTAACCTGAATAACATGTACAAGAAAGTGCCAATAAAAGTAAAAAAATCCTTTGTGTAAAAATGTATACATATAAAATAAAAGACTAAACTAAGCTAAAATACAAATAAAAAATAATACATAAAAAAGGGTACTAAAAAGCATAGATCTTTTGTGTTTTTTCTTCTTTATGTAGATTAAGTTATAAATTTATTAAGGCATGTATAAATATTGAGGGAAATCTTTACCTTTATGCTTGAAACATACAGTAAAAATAACCAACCACTCAAAATTGTGTCCAAGGAAATCCTTTAATGGAAATAGAGAATTTACGGCACTTCAAAAAAAAAAAGCAAGCCAGTGCTTGAAAAAAAAAGTCAGCTTGTGTCCAGAGTTAGCAGTTAGTCAATTACAATAAAATTACTGGTTGGCTGTCATACAGAGTTGCATGAGATAAATTTAAACATCATGCTCTCATGTAACCTTATATATTTACAGTATCAAAAACATGATTCACTTTGCGGCAAAGAATTTTTTTTAATTAACAAACAAACAGAAAACAATTATTCTTGTCATTTATAATACCTGAGACCAGAGTATGGTATAATAATGTCACAACACTTCACAACCCGTGTGAGATGAGACTTAAGTAAAATGATGTCCTAACACTTCATAACCAATGTGGTGTTAGTCCCGATCATACAAGTTTTTCGATGTCCCAAATGTAACAAAAATTAATGAAGAAAATATGTTTACCTTATAAAAAAATAAAATAAATTTTTGTGCATGGAAATTAAAGACGCTTTTTTCAAGAGTTCCTCTTAGTTAGAGATATTTTTTACCCTAAAAAAAAAAAAAAAAAGGGGGGGAGATACTGAATAACAAAAAAAAAAAAAAAAAAAATAAAAAAAAATAAAATATGTTTACCTTATAAAAAAATAAAATAAATTTTTGTTCATGGAAATTAAAGACGCTTTTTTCAAGAGTTCCTCTTAGTTAGAGATATTTTTTACCCTAAAAAAAAAAAAAAAACGGGGGGGTGATACTGCATAACAAAAAAAGTTGATAGAGTAATAAAAAAACATATGTACCTTTGAAACTGATCTTTTGAATATAATTTTTTATAATTTATACTTGAAAAAAAAGAAAAAAGTAAAAAATGGAAGGTATATTTCTGTACTCAATTTAAAGATCATAGCAGACAGTTGTCAATAACATAATCAGCAGTTGTCAATGACATTACCAGTCAAGATAACACCTAACTCATGTCTATGGCATTATCAGACAGAGTTGTCGTTTCAAATTTACCGCATATTTGCAGCCTCTTCTATCCATTTCACCACAGGCTCCTTTGTTAATAACAATAAACCAAATCTCTCCTAACTAAGTAGTGAGAAAAAACAGTTATAAACATTTGTATAAAATTTATAAAAATAGATTCATGCATCTATAAAAAGGATAACATTGAATAATGTCAGGGTAAATAGCATCACATTAAGTCTAGTAATGAGTTATTTGTGTAAAGTTAAAAGTGATACAAACAAAAACAAAACCTTAATTCCAAATATAAATTACATGATAATGGATTATTTTAAAAGCCATTGGTAAAATATCTAACAAATGTGTTCAACAACAAAAATAATTCATCACAAAGGCCCCAGGGAATTTCCTCGCCCAGGAACCGAACGACTTATTTGTCTACCAGTTTGCACAGTTCTTGAATCCGCTCTAACATCATTATATGCAGGTGGTGGGTCAGTATTGGCCTGTTCATTTGAGACAGGATGGTGTAATGTTATCTCAGCATACTCAGCTTCATAAGGCAGTGGGCAGGCAACATCATAGATAACATCAGGACTTTGGGACCACTGACCCACATTAGAGTTATCTCCCCTGGATTCAGGTTGATTGTTTCCCACTAATTCCTGGCTATTTTCTGAAGGATATTAAAAAAAAAAAGTAGATGCAGCCATGTACTGTGTTTTCAGAGTACCGGTACAAGGATAAATCAATATGTCATGCATGTGGAAAACTGTGACTACAGGTCAAACTGAACTTTATTGAATGTTTCTAATAATTTGAACATACTGCCACAGAACTTAACTACAGAGTTGTCTAATTAAATCAGCAAGATTATAATTTAAAAAAATTTTAAATGTATATGATAAATAAAAACTAAATTTTTTTTTTTTACATTAAAAAGTTCCTTTCCTTTAAGCTTACAATTTCAATGTTTCAAACTTCAATAGAAAACTTAAAAATTAAGATTTATGCTCAGTTCACACTATCAAATTTTTTTTCTTCAAATTTTTGTTTGATCCCACTATTTTGTGTGTGGTTTCTTTGTTTGGACCAAAATGAGAATTTGATCAAATAAAAAGTTCTTGGATGCGATAACCAATCACAGTATTACTGCTTTTCCCGTGACATTACAGCTGATTTATCAAAATGGCCGCCATTGAAATAAATTACAGTAATGTGGGTTCCGCTAACAAGCTTAGCCAAACAAGCTTAGCCAGAGAACCCCATTTACCAACTGGCCTCTGGCCAGAAAAACTTCACAACCCACCACCAAATACGGTCAGCGTCTTTCTCCCTCGCTCTTCCCTGCTCTACTGACCACCTGCACACTGCTACCATATTACCCCCTTTGCCTTTAGTGTCCCTATGCTAATAGTCCACCTGGGACAAAACAGTCTCCCAGGGATTCTAACACCTTGAAAGGACATGGTCAAGTTTCTCACACCTTTGAAGGATAAATACAATTTCAGATACCAAAACCTTGGTAAAATTGAAATTTCACAACGAGATTCATGGCTGCTAAGAATTGCTCAGACGAGGGGCCCTGAGAATTTAAATGGTAAGTTTACCACAATAATTACATTAATGATATTAATTAAAATACTAGCAGAGTAGGCAGACTCCTCATCATAGTAATAGTCCAATATATTTGTCATACTCAGAGCAAATTTAAGCAATTTATGAAAAAGAACTCACACTGAATAGACCTACTAAATAGCCAGTATGTCTACACTAAACAGTAGCCTGTATAAAGGATAAGGAATAACGAATAACGCCTAATAGAAATAAAAATAATAGTAATATATACTTAATATCATTAGTTTCAATAGGCTAACTATTAATATTAGTATCAGGGTAGGCCTAAATTATTTTCTTAATTTAATATAGCAGTTTAAATCATTTTGGAGATTTTAAATTTCTAATTATTAATCAGAGCTCTGGATCAGCTGGGTTTTTTTTTTTGCCTGGAATTCAAGCTGGTAAAATTCATTACTACTGCTCCATTTAAAAGAAAAATTTAATGGATAAAAAGTAAAATTACAAAAATTATAGTTTGCACTTTTTAATTTTAAAATTAATTTTTTTTAAATTGATGCCCCATTAGTTCTATATCTATATTGCCCCATGCTTCTACCAGCTATATTTCCCCACTCATCTTACATCTATGATTCTCCACCATTCCATTTGCTATGTTGCCCCCACTCTTCATACAGTTATATTGCCCGACTCTTCTACCTGTTATGTTACTGGTACATGCAGTTCTAATGCCTAGTTTGTTAGATTTAGATGGGTAAGTGACAATAAAGATATTTCTTTATAAACACTCAGCACCCCTTCAATGCCCTTTCAATTTTGCCAGAGTGGTGCTGGAGCTGACAAAAATTTGTCCGCAGTGCAGTTCGTCCAAAAAAAGCCTGCTCCAGAACTATTCTTGTAATAAGTCAACTTTATTATTACTTGTATAGAAAAAAAATGCTTCTAGTCTGCCTACAATTAACGAGTTAGGATTAGCATTCCTGGAGTGTTTCAGTGTCAATTAGTTTAGACTTAATAATTTTTGTGTATTTTTTTTGTTTGAGTGTCTCAGTCGCTGGTTATGATAATAATCTATACATATTATACAGTTGAAGATGCTAGTCATGGCAAGAGTAATTATTAGTCATACTGTACTATCTATACTACTAAAGTTTATATAATGAATAATAAAAGTGTTACAGGTTTATATTATAAAATATATATTAATTTGTAGTATAGAATAGGCTTTATTAGTAATCAGCCTAATTATAAATAAATTTTCAATTACATCATGATCATGCCCTACACCCATTTGTTGTCCAATTTTTTTTCTAAATAATTATTAGATCTTTTTCTAATTTTTTTTTAAGTACATAATTCTTATTTGGAGGCTTTTTGTTGTTTCTATAACAATGCATAGTCAATGTAAACTCATTCGCGAATGACAACCATTTTTTTTTTTTTTTTTGGTTGTTTGCACAAGTGAAGTGGAGATAGCATAATAATACTGGTACTAAAAAAATTTGCATAGTGATATGAAAGTTGTGACAAGGCTTCTTACAAAAATAAAATAAAAAACATGATAGGAAATTTGATCGTGTGAACTGAGCATCTTTTTCTCTAACTCTGAAGTTAAACACACGAAAATAAACTACATGTAAGTGTTAATTGATGTGTTAACTAAAAATAGTCCAGCATGCAAATTGAATAACTATTACTATTACCTGGAGATACTTGATCACTTAGGGTATAAGGAGGCGGCAGGTCAATGTTATGGTATGTTGAATCATCCTCCTCTGTTCTGAAAGTATTTTCAAGCAATAAAACTAATCACAAAAGATGATAAAAAAATATAGCACTTTATTTTTTTCTTTAATTTTCTTAGCCTCGGAAGTGAAAAAAAGGGTTGGGGTAGACTAGACTATGTTTCTGCATTTTAGTAGAAATAACCCGCCAAACAATGGAGCTGGCAGTGTGTGAACTTCCCATCTACTAATGTTACCGGACAGAACATGCAATCACTTCTTCTTCTTCTTCTATATCTTAAGGGCCCACGATCAATTTATTGATCATTTTGGCTCCTATGCATGTAGATGGGATTTGCAATGTTTCTGTTACTGGTGTTGATGAGGAAATTATGCACTAGGGGTTTGAAGGCTTGAGGCAATAGACACAAATGTGTCTAGTGTTGTCGTCTCAACCGTTCCTTTTGAAAGATTGTTCCAGTCCCTGATTGTCTTGGGCAGGAATGAGCAGCTCCTATACTGGCTTCTTGCTGGTATGAGCCTGAATTGCCTGTCATGGCCTCGTCGCTGTCTATGGGAGAGAGGGACGAGTTTCTGTTTAATACTGGAACAGTGGACCAGCCCATTATTTATCTTGTACATCATGGAGAGCCTGGATTGTCGTCGTCGTTTCTCCATTGGTGATCAGCCTAGTATTTCTAGCATGCTGCCAACACTAGAGGTATTCCTGTAGCGGTTTAGGACAAAGCGTGCTGCTCGTCGCTGGACCGCCTCCAACCTGTCAATGCTCTTCTGGGTAAATGGGTCCCAGACTGAAGATGCTGTCGCTGGACCGCCTCCAACCTGTCAATGCTCTTCTGGGTAAATGGGTCCCAGACTGAAGATGCATAATCTAAAATCGGACGGATAAAGGCTTTATATGCTCTTTCTTTCACACAGGAGTTGCCAATTTTTAGATTTCGCCTTAAGAACCCTAGGGTCTTGTTTGCTTGGTTACATACATTGTTAATATGCTCGTCCCAGCGGACATCTGTTTGAATGGTAACACCCAGGTACTTTACGGAGGAAACTTGCTCAAGTATATGGCCGTGCAGTTCGTATTGGTAGTGTAGAGGAGTACAACTTCTAGAGATTGATAGTGTCTGGCACTTGGCAGGGTGAAATTCCATGTCCCAGCTCATCTCCCACTCAGCTAACAGATTGAGATCCTGTTGTAGCTGGTCCTGGTCAGATCTGTTGGCGATCGTCCTATACACTGCTGTGTCATCTGCGAACAGTCTTGCCTGTGATGTCAGTTTCTCGGGTAGGTCATTAATGTATGCTAGGAACTCACTTGATAAGAATCCCAATTAATGCCAATTTCTGGGAATTTTATTATTTTGCGAGCCATACAGCCATATATACATACCTTGAGAATTATTACTATTAAGAAATCCTGTAAAATTTAAAGAAAAATAAATGGCTCTGTATTTAAAGAAACAAAATACAAATACTCACTGTGCACGCTCAGAGTATGGTGGGGGGCTGGCAAAGATGGAAGGCACATTTGATAATAAAGAATCAGGCTCCAGACCAGGATATGGGGGAGGAGACATGTTGTTGATGATCACTGGGTTCACAATGAAAATCGTAGACTCTCGTCTGTTGAAGATAACATTTTGGCAAACTTTACCTATACAGTACAGTAACATGAACTCCTAAATTAATTTTTTTTTAAACAAAAAAAAAAAAAAAAAAAAAAAAAAACCAGAGTAAAAATAAGAAAAAAAAAAAAAAAAAAAAAAAAAAATAAAAAAAAAAAAAAAAAAAACAAACAAAATAAATAAATTTTTTTTAAAAAAAAAAAAAAAAAAACAAAAAAAAAACCAGTGTAATAATATGGAAGATGAAAAAAAAACCAATACGTACTTAATAAAAATGCAGACAAACAAAACCAACCTGTTCATGTACACTCTGGGTTCTCGACGTGGAAGTCTGTTCGCCATTCTCCTCTTCTTGATGATAAGGATAACAGCGGCAAAGAGAAGGACAGCAAAGATGATACAACCGATGACAGACCCAAGAATCATGCTAGGTGGTGCAGAGGTGTCATCTAAAGTGGGGGACATACAACAGAATATTTGAATTTGGGAAAATGTGTGAAAAGAGAATCTATTTTATTTTCACTTGGAGAATTTATTTGATGAGCTATTCAATTATCTGAGGAAGGCATTCAGCCCAAAATTTCCTTTTAATTGTCCTATATTTTTTTTAAAAGCCAAAACATGTCTTGTTCCACTGGTTATCAATTATCTGTGAGATATCTTAAAATTGGAATAGCTTTATTTTTTCAGATCTAAGAAGAACCAAGTAACTGATATCATACAATAAAAAACAAATTATGTTTCTAGACTTAACAGTATGTCACAAATGATAACATTTTAATATTTTTTATATCATACTTGAGAAAACTTCTTTCAGATGAAAGCTCTTTCAATTTTCAAATATAAATGCTGTTACATAAGTTGTATTATTCACTATTCATTATGATTACCTGGATAACTGGACGATGTTGTTAAAATTGATGTTGGACGAGCATAGAACTTCAGACGGAAACCTAGAGTTTTGAATGATTGGTCAGGTTTGAAAACAACCGTTATTTCATTGGCCGAGGAATTAAATTGTTCCGGCGAACAGTATCGCCATAGCAGATTCTGGTCTTGTATTGGACCTGGCCACAGATTTGATAAAATAATGCATAAATCATATTATGCCAGATTTTTAAAAAATTAAACAATAGTGTCCTCCATACATTAAAAAAACACAATGTCTACGTTATCATGTGTTTTGGCTAACATTTAAAAAAATAAAATGATGAATCAGTTATATTGCTTCAAATATATTTTTAGGCTAGCTAATAGATAAGAAACATCTGGTGGAAAACTGAATGTATTTGAGTGAGATTTTAATTGTTAAAAAATAAATTGTAATCAACAGTCACCTTAAAGTGATTCTTTTCATAACTTATAAACAGATATGTATATAAGAAAACCATATTAAATTTGGGGTTACATTACCAACGTAAACAAGAAGGTAATCATTGGCACATGAATAACTTAAGCCCTTCAGGATATAGTCCACGGTCTCGAGAATAATATTTCCTTGTTTGGAAATGATGTTCCACTTACAAACTGTGGATCTGTTAAATTCTAGACATTAGTTTGTTTTTAAGAAATTCTAGACATTAGTTTGTTTAAAAGAAATTCTAGACATTAGTTTGTTTTAAAGAAATTCTAGACATTAGTTTGTTTTAAAGAAATTTTAGTTAGTTTATTTTAAAGAAGCTATCAGAGTGGCAATCACTGACAAACTGTAGATCTGTTAAACTTTAGACATTAGTTTGTTTTTAAGAAGCTATCAGAGTGGCAATCACTTACAAACTGTAGATCTGTTAAACTTTAGACATTAGTTTGTTTTAAATAAACTATCAGAGTGGCAATCACTGACAAACGGTAGATCTGTTAAACTTTAGACATTAGTTTGTTTTTAAGAAGCTATCAGAGTGGCAATCACTTACAAACTGTAGATCTGTTAAACTTTAGACATTAGTTTGTTTTTAAGAAGCTATCAGAGTGGCAATCACTGACAAATGGTAGATCTGTTAAACTTTAGACATTAGTTTGTTTTTAAGAAGCTATCAGAGTGGCAATCACTGACAAATGGTAGATCTGTTAAACTTTAGACATTAGTTTGTTTTTAAGAAGCTATCAGAATGGCAATCACTGACAAATGGTAGATCTGTTAAACTTTAGACATTAGTTTGTTTTTAAGAAGCTATCAGAGTGGCAATCACTGACAAATTGTAGATCTGTTAAACTTTAGACATTAGTTTGTTTTTAAGAAGCTATCAGAGTGGCAATCACTTACAAACTGTAGATCTGTTAAACTTTAGACATTAGTTTGTTTTTAAGAAGCTATCAGAATGACAATCACTGACAAATGGTAGATCTGTTAAACTTTAGACATTAGTTTGTTTTTAAGAAGCTATCAGAATGGCAATCACTGACAAACTGTAGATCTGTTAAACTTTAGACATTAGTTTGTTTTTAAGAAGCTATCAGAGTGGCAATCACTGACAAATGGTAGATCTGTTAAACTTTAGACATTAGTTTGTTTTAAATCAACTATCAGAGTGGCAATGATTTTTATACAAATTACAAAACTATTTGCCTTATCCAATACAAAACTATTTGCACTAACCAACACAAAACTATTTGCACCAACTGCATGAGCCTAGCTATATTTTAAAAAAGCCTATCTCAGAATGCTGGAAATTATTTGTCTGGAACTGTGTGTTAAATGACTTTTTTTTGGGACCTGAATTATAAAATATCAAATTGGCAAGCCTAAATTTTTACATTTTAAACAGGTACCCAGATTGAACTATAATATTTATATATTACATGGGGTAAGGCTCTGGGTATCTGGGTGATGCCAGATAATTATCCACAGTTGTAGCCTCCAAAATGACATCCAAGCAAGAGTCTGAATATACAAAAGAAAAAAAAAGAAATTTTTTTTTACATTGTTTAATAGAATTTAGAGCAGCAACTATCAGTGTGGATTAAGTTTAAACAGAACATAACAATTGGAAAAAAGAGAATCAAGAAATAACTAAGGGGGAAAAAATCACATTTTAAAACATATTTTTTTTTAGATGAATGAGGGTGTGGAATGAATAAAATACAATGTGGTAAACAAATGTACATTGTACTGGAAACTCACCCAGTGTGCAAGTGTATTAAGGGAGGCGTTAATACACAGTCGGCTGGGAATAACCCTCAATGTTATTCCCCAGACGAATAATGGTTTACTGCCAACAGCAATTATTATTTCCAGCTGACTGTGAATAACCACTCCATTATATTAATATCATTTCATAATTTAACTTTAGCTCTCGTTACAGCTTTGATTCCCTAATGCATACAAGTCTCATATAAACATCCATTAATGACCCTTTCAAGTGAATGAATTACTTAGACAGTTTATCAACTGTAAACATGTACAGTCATGAGAATATTTGTTATTTCATTTAAAGAAATTTACAGGATACGAAAAGTATGCATGCCTAGTTTTGCAATTGGTCACCTCCTTTCCCTACCAACCAAGATGTAGCTGGCTCTCAAATTCTTCACAAGTTCTCCCCACATAAGGGTAAATAGCCAGGTGTAGTGGTCTCATCAGACAGGTAAGGCAGCAGCTAGTCTTGGGAAGGAGATAAACTCTTAGTGCGAAAACCTGAACCTACTGAGGTGGCAAGTTTGGAAGGTGCAGAATGAAATCAACCAAAGGACTTACTTACCTCTAGACAGGAGAGCCCTTATTTTGAAATTTGCTGGCATGTAATCAAAATGCGCCTTAACTGCCAGAGTGGACTGGGCGAACGTGAAGTTTCCTGTTTGTTTGTTCTGCTGGTTCAGACTGAGCACTTCCTGCCAACGATACTTGGTGGATGATATCACTGTAGAAGTGTTAATAAAGTTGTTTGTTAACTTATAATATATAATTAATTTTTGTTCTTCATATGATTATTTTGTAAACAGCCCCAGTTTTTAAACCCATCCCTTCTAAATTAACCTCACAGATCAAAGGCCCAAGTTATTTCTACAATAGTTTCACAGACTAAAGCAATGACTACTATAATTAACCCTCAAGGAAGAACAGATAGTGATTTTGCATCTCTGCAACTAGCCACAACCAAATGCTTAACAATTTTTTTTGTTTCTAAACACTGAGAGATCCACATTGAGATCTTCAAACACATATGTTTTTAATTTGTAATAATTAGTTGTTTGTCTTGTCTGCGGAAGCCGGCATTTAGCCGAAATATCCTTTTTTTTTGTTCAACATCCTTTTTTGTTCAACATCCTTTTATTGTTCAACATCCTTCTATTGTTCAACATTCTTCTATTGTTCAACATCCTTCTATTGTTCAACATCCTTCTATTGTTCAACATCCATCTATTGTTCTGTCTTTTTTTCCAAGCCTAAACATATCTTTACACCACTATTTATTTATTTTACACTGCTGGAATATTCAACACTGAACAAAATGCCTTAATTTTCAAAATCGGTGGAGAATACTTCTGTCTCCGGACAACACCATTGCCCAAAAAAAACCTCAATGCGCACTTGAGAAGACTACAGATGACAGGCACCTTCAAGAGGGCTACAGGAGTAGACGTCTAGCAGAATGAAGAAGAAGCATTAAGTACTATTCATCTGGAGGTTCCATGGTGTTAACAAGGTAACTCACCTGGAGGTGTCATGAAGTTAACAAGGTAACTCACCAGGAGGTTCCATGGAGCTAACAAGGTAACTCACCTGAAGGTTTCATGGAGTACACAATCAAGTTGTTCCCATACTGAAAGTCTAAATCAATTCTCAAAGTGATGCTTGAGTCATGTGATGTTGGGTACAGGTAAAAATAACAGTCCTGAGACCTGTTGGTAATACAGACCAAATTATGGAAGTATTATTTTTAACACACTTTTTTAAATACTCATCTGTAAGTAAGAAGGGAGTTCTTATAAAAGGTATCTCCAATATCATGTTCTCATTTTTTGGGATGCTTTGTCTGTCTCATTCATCAGTCTCAAATTATGGGGGGGGGGGGGGGGGTTTCATGGAAAGTGAAAATCTTAAGGTTGTGAAACTTAAGTATCTACATAGCTCACAAGAATTTCCGGAAAACTTACTGATCAGATGCTCTTTGGACGTACATCAGGTAGCTAGAAACTCGCTCTTGCAGCGTGATGTTACTGCCACAGTTGTACTGCTGAACGCTTGAGGCTGCAGTTGCAAGTAAAGACACATTTAAGCCACGAGGCACAAGTAATAAAGGCTTGGGTAAACCAAGGCCACCAAAAGCACCTTTTTTCAGCCAGACCAAACAGCAATCCCACCCGCCAGATATTTTTATCTGGCCTGCCCACACCTGGAGCCCACCCGCCAGATGTTTTTATCTGGCCTGCCCACACCTGGAGCCCACCCGTCAGATGTTTTTATCTGGCCTGCCCACACCTGGTGCCCACCCACCGGATATTTTAGCTGGCAAACCAGCAATAGAAGCTAAACCACGTTTATTTTTATAATGCTATCAGGCAAGCTGAACACTTTCTCACTACATTTTTAGGCACAAGTTTACTATTTAATTTTTAGAACAAAGAAATCTATGAAAATTCATATGGCCACTCCAAATTAAGTACCTGCAGAATTTGATAATGCAAACCTTAGAATGGTGTACTTTAAAATCTATAGTAACATGAATGAGTATATGTAAAGCTTTTACCACAAAAATGACTTGACCTCCTCAACTTTAGCAACCCTGAGCATGTATCCCACCCTAGTTTCCCTGAGCATGTATCCCACCCTAGTTACTCTGAGCATGTATCCCACCCTAGTTACCCTGAGCATGTGTCCCACCTTAGTTACGCTGAGCATGTGTCCCACCTTAGTTACCCTGAGCGTGTGTCCCACACTAATTACCCAGCTTCTTCCTATACCAGACTGGACTTTTGCAATTTAAACATTACTTGACCCTGACCTTCATGATAAAAGAAGAACTGAAATCCTGGCTTGATAATAAAATTTGTAGTAAACTCGACTTTGACAGAGCTCGCATCATAATATTGTGTCAGTGACCTCTTGCCACAGATCCGACTTGGTTGCCCAAATATATCACCAGCAACATCTGTTGGTTATAACAACATTGAGAACAAAAAAACGTATGTATTCGAGTCAAAAATTAAGAGCCACACATAGAGACCTTCTTTGCTCGCTCTAAAGACCCTTTTCTGAATGTTTTAAAACTTATTTTGTTGTTCAATTTTATAGTTTGTAGGCCACATAATCTACTATTAGGACTTTTGGATTTATTTTTTTTATAAAATGTCACAAGCAAACAAAACAAGAAAAATTGCAGATGACATGACCCCCCAAAAAACCAAATCAACATACTAATACTAGTGGATATGTTCAGCACGCTTGTGTCAGAGCACAGCACACTGGAAAGGTCAGGGAAGGTCAAGACTATTACGGAAGCTTCCTGGGTAGGTGTATTTTTGATAGTCCATGAGTAATAAATATTGCTGTGGAGAAGTAAAAACAACTTTGTTTAATTAAATGCTCCAGACTAAGAAATGGTTGGTGGGAAATAAGTTAAAAAAAAAAAAGTACTGCATTAGTTCTCAAAGTTTCCCCTATGACAGACTGAATTCATCTGTACTGTTAAGGCTATTAATTTATGGATTAGTTTTTTTTCTTTTCCCCTATATGATGGACTGGTGTCTGCAGACACCCAATTTGAGAGGCACTGATATATTGGTGAGTGTAAGGTTCAATGTCAAAAGTCAGATTTTGAAAATCAATGGCAGATCTCACATTTAAAGAAATAAAAAAGGCAAACGACATGTTTAAACACTAATTGCTTAAGTCAAATCATGAGTAAACATACCTTGGATAAAAATGTGGATAGTAAGGAGTCTGCACAATTTGTTCCTGATTTAATGCTTTCAGATTTGAATAATTGTAAGAAGATTGGTCTGTTGATTCAAATTTGAAAAAATAATACAAAATTATAGTATCATTATTATATTCCTGTTAATTTTCTTACACATTACACACACTGAGATTTTATGATAATTTAAACGTTTACTGATCTAAGAAACAAAAAAATATCCATTATCATTGAAGTTTGGTCAACTAAGAGGCTTTAAAATTGTAATGATCCAGTAGCAAGAAAAAGAAAGCCAGCAATAATGCAAGTAACACATTGGTTCTGTGGCTCCTTTCGACAAGACTCTTTAATAGAACAGAATGTCTGATTATTATTGTTTTTATTTTGTTTTGTGCAAGTCTTCAGTTTTTCATGTGCTGTAGATAGTGGGGTTTTTGTGCAATTAATCAAATTTTGTCCCTTTTTGTGGAAGTTGGGGAAGAGTGGTTTGGAGGCTGTAAGTTGAATCAAATGGGGTACGATGTAGTTATGTATTTCCACTTCATGGCGCTGCTCTTAATATGATTCTGAAACTAACACATTGTGTTAATGTGAGATTTCCTTTTAAATCATTGGCTTCTGGTGTGTACAAGTTATACTCTTGACTTCTGGTGTGTATAAGTTATACTCTTGAAATGCTGATTTCCCACATACCCCAACCCCCACCAAAAATAAAGGCCTGAATGCTTTGTCATTACAAAAGATGAAGTGACCCGCAATGCTTGTGAAGTTAAAACTTTCACCAAGTTACATAAGCCAACATCCAAAATGGCAATATAAATATCATTTAAAATAAACCTAAAGTTAATAAAAACACAACAGAGTTTTTTTATAAATAAAAATTAAACACAAAATGTGATAAATTGCACTGACTGATTAAATAAATGTCCTGCTGGTAGCCGAAGCTGAAGTCTGGTGACTGGTATTGAGAATCTTGGTCAACTATGGAGACTGTGATGACAACTGGGTAGAAGGAATACATCAAGGTGTCATCAGGGGTATCTTGGTCATATTCTGCCTCAGCTTTAGGCCTCGGGTCGTCAAGGGACAGGACTGGACAATAGCAAATAATTTCTTGTTTTACATAGGGCATAAAAAAAAATAGCTCAACGATAAACACATGACAGAGCATTAAAATAAATGATAAGGTATTTAATTTCTTAGCATGAAGTTTCTTATCACCATCTTTCGTTTTGAAATGGTAAGTTGACTTTGTAACAGTAAGAAGACTTTGATACTTACTGTAGACTTTGAAACAGTAAGTAGACTTTGAAACAGTAAGTAGACTTTGAAACAGTAAGTAGACTTTAAAACAGTAAGTAGACACACCAATGAGAGGTTTTACCTTGTTTAACAACAAAAGAATTATTTGAAAGCACGTTAAAGTTGTTTCTTGCTTGGATTGTAACAGGCAGCATGCTCCCCTGGATCTCCCATCGGCAGAACAAGTTTCTAGTCAAACAATAAACAGATCCATGCAAAAACACATGCCACAACATGATGCAATAACATCTGCATCACTTACCACTACCACTACAAGCGCCTAGTGAGCACCATTACAGTCATGCATTCAACGAACAAAACAAATGCATCAGACATCATCCCAGTTAGTTATAGAATTTTAGTTGCCACGGAAACGTACATAGAGTAATGACATTTCTTTAAATTTTGCATCATCAATAACTTTAGCTTTCAAAACACGAAACATCACAAATTAGTTTTAGTAACAATACAACTAAAATGCTCTCATGAGATTCTACTCTCTTGCTGCATGATTGTAAACACAAAAAACTTCTCTGAAAAACCTCAGCTATAAACAAGCTTTGATGCAAAGAATAATTAATTAGAAAAGCCTTGAATTTAAAAGGAGTTAAATGCTGTTATCCCGGCCAGCATTAGCTCATTAACTTTCCAGTTCAATGAAAGAATCACGCTTCATCACTGGATCATACTGGTGCACATGAAAGGACCATTTGTTGGCTGAAACATATCATTGACTGTAATATTACAATGCCTCATGGGCACAAACATGTAACAGCTTAAAACACTGCTTTTATGCAATATCATTAAAATTTAAACACAAAAGTTTGGTTAAGAATTTACTCATTGACTGCTGTTGTAGCTCTGTATTAATGGACAATCCATTTGTTATACATAGGCAAATAAATTTTTGTAACCCCATTTTGCAGCACTTAAAATTCCTTGGACACCAAATACATCTGAATACATTTACTGATCAGCTTAATTTCTAACCAAACATCCTCCGTTTAAAAGAAAATAACACAAACTTTAAAAAAATATTTTTTGTTATATTTGAAAGTAGTACAAGGCATAATTATTCTTACAGAAAGACACAGCTCTTTTTCTCTTAGCAATTTTTCTTATTTATTATAATGACAAAAAACTGAATTTCATGGCACCCTGATGAAAGGTATCAATTGATATTTATTGAAACTAATCCTTGAGCCTAAAATAAAACAATTAAAATCTGGGAATATGTTCTATGTTCAAGAACAAAAGTACAAGGTAGCTGAATTTCGCATTAATGGTAGGAGAACGGTAAACAATATCAAATGGGGCATACTGCTGGCAGTCACTACAAAAAATTTGGTGAGTTTTTTGTGTTGTTGTGTTTCAAAGTTTAATTATGACAAAAATGTATTCAAATACTATAAGTTTTGTTTTAGTGCATAAGCACCTATCTTCAACATGACCAACCGTACATTACGTCTTTAAATATGGCTAACCTCCCCCCACCCTGCTCAGATCAGTTGTAATTCATATATTGATGATGGATGGACAGCTCAACCCAGCGGCAGTCACTAAACATGCAGTTAGTTTTCAAAAGATTTACAACATTGATTTGCTTGAACCAAAGAAAGAATAGAAGTTCCAATAAAACACTTACTTGACTTTAAGTGATTTGATCAGTGAGTAAGAATTAAATGACGAATTGTCTTTGAATTCAGTCTTTAACATCGCTTGACTTGGATCTGTTGAGGCATCAACCAATTTGATTATAATTTAGGCAAAATTACAAATTTTATGGATTAAAAAAATTCTTATAATACTGATAATGAAATTACTCTTATTAACTTGAAGATAATGATTTAACTGCACCAAGAACAGAGTAATCAAGTGTATTTTATAGTTGTATCAAGAAATCCTCATTTATTTGCATTTTAAGATAAAAGAACTGCATCTAAAATGAATCTTCTAAAAAGTAAAAAGAAAATCTATAGAACAAAGGGGAACAAATCTGATGTGCTGTCTATGTAATAGGTCAATGTTCAGTTTCCTGGTGCTCTTTCTTGGTCTACATCTTTTCTCTTTTCTTTTTTAATTATGATATAGACTTTCTGCTGACAAACATCTTGAACTCTTCTGTCCAAACAAAACTCTAAATCCCATCTCACACCGGTTAATTATTGTAAAGGTATACATTAAAAATAAATAATAATTATAATAATAATAATAATAATTAGTGGTCTTATATAGCGCGGTACCCCAGCCTAGGGGTGCTGCCCAAGTAAGTAAATTTATACAAGTGAACACCTTGCTGAAACAAAAAAGAAATACACAAAAAAGTAGCCCCTCCCCTCCAACTCACCAGCAGGTCCAAGATAAAGCCAAAATTCTGTGTTGGATGTATTTCTGAAAATTTGGAAAAATGTCTGAAGTTAACCTCAGGAGAAATTGCCAGGGAAGTCTTTCCTGATACAAAGAATCAACACATTATATTATAGAATTTGATCTCAACTACATTAAAAAGAAAACTTTCTATAGTGCAGATCCCTTACTAGAGTTATTTTTCATTTTGTCCTCTCATAATAATTCCATCACAAATGTTATTCTACATATTGTCCTCTCACAATGATTATACAAACAGCAATATGATAAGTGTTGCATCTTAGTGTCAGATCCCTTGGTAAGCATATCAACAAGATAGCTTATCAGCACATCAGCAAAATATTACTCTACTTTGGTAGCCTTGACAAACATATCAACATGTTGTTCGTCTGTCAACATCTACTAGGACCATCTAGTCATCAGGTTAAGGGGGTGGGGGGGGGGGGGGGTTTTCGTCACGGTGAGTTCGTAGGTGGCTTGCTAGTCAGATCCATGCTCAGAATAGTCTCTGGCACCGCGAGCAGGGGATAGTTGTTGTAGTCGGTGATCTAAGGTTGCTTTTTCGGGCTAGCCTGCGTGTCTCAGCTGTGGCTATCTTTCTGGCGTCATGAGGTTGAGCCCCTTCTTGACACATACTTTGTTTTGCTATTCCCTTCTTGACAGCTGATCTCCACCTGGTTCTATCCTGGGCTGTCTGCACCCATGCAATAGGGTTGATGCTGAAGGACTTTAGTGCCGCTTTCAATGAGTCTTTGTAACGCTTTTTTTTACCTCCTTGGGATCACTTGCCTATCGTGAGTTCTCCAAAGAATAGCTGTTTAGGGAGCCGGTTGTCTTCCATACTGGCTACGTGTGGCATCCAACGGAGTTGAGACAGCATCAGGGTGGTGAAGATGCTAGGTAGGTTCGCTCTAGCGAGGACCTCCGTGTCAGGCACTTTGTCTTGCCACCTGATGCCGAGGAGTTTCCTGAGGCAGGTTGTGTGAAACTGGTTTAGTTTTTTGCCATGACACTGGTAGACTGTGCATGTTTCACATCCGTATAGCAATGCCGAGAGGACTGCTGCGCTATAGACCTTGATCTTCATTTCTCGTCTGATACCTCTTCTGTCCCAAAACAGTGCTGCGGTGTCTGCCAAATATGGCATTAGCTTTTGCGAGTCTGGCATTCATTTCATCATCCATGACAACAGATATGAAGAGGGTGCTGCCCAAGTACGTAAATTTATCTACCCCGTTTAGCTGCTGTCTGCTGATGATGATGCTGGGTTCAACTTAGGGCTCACTGGGAGCTGGCTAATACATCACTTGTCTTTTTTTGTGTTGATTGTCAGGCCAAAGACTGATCCATGGGTGCGGAAATAGATTGGCAAGCCCATGGTAGAGTCCTTGAATGCATCAGACAACATTGCAGAATACATAATACTGAAGAGTGTGGGAGTCAGGACACAGCCCTGCTTCACACCGTTTGTGACAGGGAATGCATGAGATGACTGACAACATAACCTTTCAACACACCAGCAACATACTTTTTAAACACCACAACAAACATACCTTATCACCACAGTTACAACATGTGGTCCACCCTCACTAAATATAGCCATGTCTGATCGGGGCAGGCCTCTACAGTCACGGGTAAGCTCAAAAAAACTTTTGTCAGGACCTGCATGGAATAGCATATAAGAGATGAAAGACTGAAAGTAAAAGGTTTGCCATTTAACTAAATTAAAATTTTAAATTAAAAAAAAAAAATTTAAAGTTTAATATCCTTTTAGCCTCAAAGCTGCTAAGAGTTTCTATCTGAACAGTGTCCTTATACCTGCTGAAATATCATGTCAGTTACAGTTTTATTACTTATCTTACATGCAGCAATATTGGCAGGTTAACATGTTCATGCAAGATAGAAAATGGATTGATTTCTCAAAGTTTGAATGACAAGTCTGTGTACACGTGCTGTCTAACATGTCTCCTGGTGAAACTTTGATGTTTTGGTAAGTAGCATTTAAAGTACACTGTGATCCATCAACATGATTTCAGAACACAGAATTTTCAACTTTAGGAAACAATAGAGCATTCACGTTTTAAAAAAAAATTATTGTTATATTTATATCTTAAATGGAAACCATTGAGATTTTTGTTTGACAATTAAGTTACAGCTGAAACATCTTAATGCCAACAATGATCATCACTAGCTTTTTAACCAACCGTTGAACAAATCAACTTTCTCTGAGACTGGAAGACTACAGCACAGATCAGCACCAAAGACCTTGAACCCTAATCTCCTTGAGATATCAAAATGATGTTCTCTACTGCTTCTGAGGGGAAAGAGTTTGAACAAATGTTTTCTTTGAAAAAAGACATTCCATATTACTCATCAATAATATCCTACTGCTGCTGTAAAAACTATTTAAGGTTAAATTAGAAGAAGATTTAGGTAAAAAATTCTAGGTGACAGAGACCCAAACAATCTGCCCCGATCTTTGTAAAGCAGAGATTTTCTTCTCTAATGAGGCAGATAGGATAACTCTCCTGGTTGATTTTTACTTAACTTATCAAAACTAAGTATTAGGAAAAAAAAAAGCTGTCTAATCCCATTCTTTAATTGATCACAACTAGGATCATCCGATGCTTGACCTAACCATAAGTAAGTTCATAATGGAAAGATATTTCATGGTTTTTCTTGAGCTCTTCACAGCATCAGGTAATTTATGTTGTTTTATTTTGTTTTTTTGTTCGCCGAAGAAAAGGATCAACTACTTTATCATCCGTTTTAACTTGGTCTAGATGCCAACATTTTTGGGGAACTATTTCAGTGGAATAAGTCAGGGGGGGGGGGGTTTCGTCATAGGTATAGTGATGAATCAAAATGTATTTACAGATCTCCAAAGTCATAGTCAAAGATGCGTTCAAAAAATTTTCGGATTTGATGCCAGAAGTATAAAAACAATTGCCGAAAGTAGATGGTTTTGGGGAACTATTTCAGTGGAATAAGTCAGGGGGGGGGGGTTTCGTCATAGGTATAGTGATGAATCAAAATGTATTTACAGATCTCCAAAGTCATAGTCAAAGATGCGTTCAAAAAATTTTCGGATTTGATGCCAGAAGTATAAAAACGATTGCCGAAAGTAGATGGCGAAAAAATTCAGTCTTTTACAGAAGCAGCATAGTTTGATCCTAGATATTTGTTATACTGTTTACATACACTGGCAAATTATTTTAAGGGAGTCGGTTAATGGGTTATACGATTTTTAGACTTTTCCTGTCTATAGCTAATTTGGTTGGTGAGGGCAGCTTATGAAAAAACGAGTGTCTATGGTAATCGTGTCTCAGTCCATCCACTATCTAAAAAAGTCTTTGTTAATTACAAATATTATTTCAGTTAATCTCCTGTTTTACCTGATCATGTCTTGATTAATCCAGAAGAGAGAGTTTTGACTCAGAAGTCTGGTAGGGAGAAAACCTGTTCAAAGAAAAAATACATTTTGACTTTCTTCCTTCCCCCCATTCATGAGCCTGTATTTATTTTAAAGCATACTGAAAATTCAAATGACCCAAGGCAGAATATCCTTGATGCTACCAAATATTTTCTAAGGCAAGGCTTCCTCATTAATCAATTTAACTGTTTCACTTTTTGAGTACCGGATTCTGCTTTCTTTACTCTTGTCCTGAAGAGTTTTAAAATAAATGAATATAATACTTTTAAAGTGGATCACTCTAACACTTTTAGCTTTTGGGAAGTTTGATTTAATTTTAAAAATCTCTGCTTCAACGACTGCTCGTAAGACCTGTGTACCTCTATCAATATTTTGAACTGTAAGATTCCACATTATCCAGCTGTTGTTTGTCTGGAACAAGCCAATGTCAAGGCTGATGGAAAGGTTCCGACCTGGACTTTGAAAATATTGGGCGGTGGCGGGAAAACGTTTGTCGAGTACTCGATCTATGAAATAGACAACATTAAAAATATGAGAACTGAGGTGCAAAAATAGAAAAATTCTGTTAAGCACTTGATAAAAAACATATAAAAATTAGGAGTCTACGTTGGAAAACTTTTGTTCTTTCTCTGTTTAAAAAAAAAGAAAACATCAAAAAGAAGATTGCAGAATGAGTCCTTGCTGTCTGACAGCCAACAACATTAAGAGCGCATTTAAGGAAGCTGGATTATTCATAGCCATCTTATTAGTTAGTTTTTAAGCTTTTAAAAAAAAAAATATTTGAAACTTGCAGCACTTACTGTCATCAAAAGATATTGTGTAGTTTTGCCGTAGAGGTACATTTACAGCCAGCACCTTGTCATCAGACCCAGAGTCGATAAATAAACTGCACCTGGAATAGAAGGTTGATACTTAGTGACAAGTGACAGCAACATGAGATTTAACCCAAAAAATGCTGTCATTTCATGCATGGTACACGCTTTATCTCTTTCAAATTATCCAACACAAAGGCAAATTTACTTTTTGCTGTAAAATGCAGTTCTTAATTTATGACCAAATTGCTAAATAGGCACTAACGAAATCTTATATTATGTTAGGTGTCATTTTAACACATGAATTGAATAGTGAACATGTACGTTTTATTTCTAAAATATGCTATGAACAAGTGTAAAGTTGAATAAAAATAAGAGAGATCAAAATGTAATAGTAAAGTGTTGATTTAAATTTACAACATAAACAAAGTAATAGTATGTATTATTAACTTCTTAAAATTTTCATATTCGTATTCAAATGCAATGTGTGTAAATGGCAATGTTTTTAAATTACCTTTTGTTAGATTTGAATAATGTTTGGTTGATGACTATTAAACTTTTGAATTCTGAAGCTGTGAAATTCAATGCTTCCTCATTTGCACAGGAAAAATTTTCTGTGGTAGAAACAGAAATGATATAGCAGAATTTATTTCTATTTGTTTGACATGCTGACATCATACATTGTTTCACAATAGTTGCAGTAAATACAAGGAATTTACATGACTGCTTTTTGTTTTGTTTTGTTTACCTTGCTGACCTATCTGACAAGCTTTGTGCTTAGACCTCAACAAAATGGGACTGCAAATATTAATATGAAACTCTTTTTTTTCAACTCTACACTCATGACTTACGATGAACTAGGGATGAATATTCCAAAACAAATCCAGACTTTTCTAGTCCGTTGTCAGAAGTGAACTTCAGCTCCATGGAATTCAATGGAACTATGACATCAATGTTCTCATCACCACAGTAGAGCACTGTGCAAATAAGATCAAAATATATCATTTAACCTTAGGCCATTGCTTAGTACAACTGGTTATAACTGATCATCTACTTCCAAGTAGTAGCACTAACACATTACAACAAAAGATAAAATTCTATGATTTTTACAGGGCAGACCGACCAAAAACGTCTTTACTACTTAAAGGGCAAAACGTCCGAAAGCGTCCGTGACAACTCAGTGTTGCAAACATGCAATCTCTGAGACTTTGCGAGACTTCCGATTGTTTACATCCGGTTTTGGAAATAGCGTTATAGAATGGGCGCCAGTTACAAGTATTTGATAGGATTTTTACAAAATTTTCAGAGTTTTAATGCTTTGTTTTTCAAAATGGATTTTGACGATTCTTTAAGTGATAGCGGAGATTTCTCTGGGTTCAATTTAAATGACATTGAAGTGCACGAAATTGACTATAAATTGGAACTAGATATTAATATTGTTAGTGATATCAGCGTAAGCAGTGTTTAAGTGTACACACTTTGATTTTGTGGCAGTGTTTGTAAATAGTAAATAGAGGGCTGACAATCCCAAACAATATGTTGTTTTTTGCAAATATTTGTGTTCATGTGTGGATTAATGGCAACATGTGAGTAAAGTAATAAATCTGCATTAATTTTCCTTAATTTTGTTTTTTATTTCACAAAAATTTGTTTACTAACACCTTAGATTTGATATTTTTACTAACGTTAACCTAAATCTGACTAAAAACAGGAAAAATGTTGCCCGTTCAGAGCTAGCAAAAGGAAGAACATCTGCCCTGTAAAGGGTTAATAAAACTGTGGTTTTTTTACATAATAGCTTCATTGTACTGTTATTAGATAAATACATATTCTCTGTCAATTTAAAGCCATGATTCGCACACTGGAACTTACCATTATTGATAGAGAGGTAATCATAATCACATCTACTACTGGGCTCTATGCTTATCTCCCTTGACTTGATGTGTATGTACTGGCCAGCATCAGTTGTTAGGATCACACTGGTTGATATGCTCCTGTAAAAGATATGAACATGTTTTATATGTGTATTGGTACAGGTTGGAGTTGGCGAGCACTTGAGCAAAAAATTTTAATAAAGGTCTGGCCTGATTAGCCCCAAACACAATGCAGAGATCCACAGTATATGTATGTTATTCATAGTTAATGTATTTATGGACATAAATGTATTTGAAAATGTTAATGATTCCCCCAAAGCAAACATTTAAATCCTTTGGCTATGTAAAAATTGAAGACAGCAAACTAAATCTTGTGATCATAGTTTTATTTCTAAAACACTCTTGGATGTTTGGCTATTCTAAATATGAAACATGTTACTAATTTGTCCAACATGCAAGGACTTTGCCCTCACTCAATTTGGGGGGTGGTAGGGGTCATTTTTGCTTTACAAAGACACATAATTTGAAAGTGTTTAATCCCTAAAAATACATAAATACAAAACACACAAAAATGTACCTACCCTGGGTAGTCTTTTGGGTAATTGGGGGAATACAAAAGTTTGGGCTCTGCACTTGCTGACAACTTAGGGAGATTCCAGCCTTTAGAATTAACTGAAATATAACAAAACTATAAATATACCACCTTGAAGTAACTATAAATCTCTGTAGGCTAGAACTGATCTGAACTTGATATTTGTTAAACCCCAACTTGCACCTTTGCTTTGAGTTCAGGACCTCAGGTATTTAACACTCTTGGGATGGATGGGCTGATCTATAGGCCCAGGGTCGAATGGCCAAAAATACCAAAGGCAGATCTTGATAATTCAAGCCTTGAGATTGGCTGACTGGTCTTTGTACCAGCTAATCAGATTGCTTTTCGCATAACTTGCTCATCTCATCATTTTAATGGCGGCTTCCATTGAGTGAGTGCCAAGCTGGTAGCCAAGGGCTTTGTTTCCTTGGCACAGGCACACCAAAAAAGGCTCCACCTCAAAAGGGGTAAAACATTATCCAAAGTTAAAATTAGAAAGTCTTAGATCATGTTAAAACAAATCTATTTCAAGTTATTATTTTGTTATCTTATTTATTCACCTAGAGAGAACTGTATCTCAAATCCACTTCCTTCTCCATAGGCTCCGCTGTTGTATATAAGAGTCACATCTGCCTCTAAAGGTAAGTTGAGCTCTTCTGCAAAGGTCTGACCGCACCAAGTTATATTTTTGTAACCTGAGAAAATGAAACAGTTTTTACAAGCATTCATCTTAAGGCAAATTTTACCTGGTTCACGGGTGGGTTGCAAGATTTTGATGTTTAGAAAAAATGATGTTTTAAAAAAAAAAAGTTTTTTTTGGGCATAGAATCTACAAGCAAGGGTGTAACTGTAATATAATCCATCAGATCTTTTATTAAAATAATTATAATTTGTGCAGACAATGCATCACGTCAAAGAGCAGATCATTTAAAATATTTGTTTGGCATGTCACAGAAACCTTGATTAACCTCATCACAGTACACACAAAAATTGGATAACTCACCTGTATCTCTTCTAACCTCAAGAGACAGTCTCTCTGATGTTGGTGAGCATTCCCCAGACCCCTTCAGGTTAAACTTGACAATTTTTAGGCTCAAGGACAACCTCGCTGGCATTATTATAGTCATGCACACAAGGTTGGGGCTGAGGACAAGTTAGAGAAAAGAAAAAATTATGTTATCAGATCAAGAAAAGTTTTTGGTTGCCAATCCTATTTATAGTTGATGTGTGTGCTGTTTGGAGCTCTGATCTTATTCAAGCTGATTTGGAAAATTTATCAAGGTGAATAAATATTAGTCTCTCAAGTCTTAGTTCTTCTTGCACTGTGTGATGATTTGGGGACTGATTCATTTGAAGTGCTACCACTTTTTGTATCTGAGTAGGATTGAACACTCATAGGTTTCATCTTATCCATTCTGATCTCAAAGGACCACTCTATCAACTTTCTATCCTAAGCTGGTGGTAAATGTTTGCAGAAAGTGAGAGAGGGGATGTAGCCTTGTTATACATCAGTAGGAATTTTTGAGAATTTGTTATAAATTTATTATTATATGCATTTATTGATGTATCATTTTTTCCCCCCAATATACTTTGAAAGACATTTAATGAAGCATGATGTGCAGACACACAACTACTGACACGGTCACTTAACTGTCAAATATACTTGAATTATTTGTATTTTTAATTTTTTTAAAAATCTCCTATGATTAACTTCAAAAGCTATGTAATGAGTTAGTAGCCTGACTGGGAGTAGAGCATGAGAACAGCAGTCATAAGAAAAAGACAATGTCACTTATTTTTATGTGAACAAGTCTCACCTCACATCAATACCAGGCGTTTTAATAGTCTCTTTTGAAGAGTTTATCCAATAAGCTGGCTTCCATCCACAGTTTTCTAAAAGCATTAAGTGGTCATTTGTACATGAACCTGGAATTATTTAAAAAATTTTAGCACCCCAAATTACAAACATTATTCTGTAATCATAAGTCCTTAATGCAAAAAAGCACAAGATAAAAGAGTACTAACAAGATAATTTTAAATCAAATTTTGTTACCAAAAAAGAACAATAATTCATTTGTAAGCTGTGGCCTCAAGCTTATATTTATTCAACGATAATAATTTTAGATATAAAAATAGGAAACAGTTTTACCTGGGCATACTGTGGTGTATAATATAAATAAAACACATGAGACAATCCACAACCACTTTCTAGTGCAAGCCACACACATTTTCACAAGTGACGTTGCCACACAATCAGGACATTTTGATGACAAGAAATAATTTCATCAAGCCACCTGAAATTCAAAAATAAAAATAATTATTAAAATTAAAACAAAGGAAGAGGCTTGACAGTTTAAGGCGAATTTTCAATGTAAAAATCTTATGATAGGACAACCATGATGACTGCTGAGCAATTTCAATCAAAAGGATATTATTCTAATTATAGGTACATAGTTATAAAGTAATATAGCATAGCTTGCTGACTGCTAGAAGTCAGAGCCAGAGCATCACTTTTTGCGGCTTTAATGAAATGGCAAATAGGTACATTTATAACGGTTGCAAAAGAACAATACATAAGTTCATTATAATATTTATTTAAAGAACTGTAATACAATTTTTTTTAAAATTTTAATCCTGACTTTAACATATAATAATGTGACTATAGAGAATTTAGACATATTTGTGAATAGACATACATTCAACTAGTTATTACTAGTTATTTCTTCTGAGACAATTTATGTTATAAGATAAAAAATGCCATATTGCTTAAAAAAGACATCATGCACAGTCATAAATAATTTTGGGACAATATGTTGAAACTTTTGATATAAAACAAGATAAGGCTATGGATTACACTTACACTTACTACAGTAGGCACATTGATAAGCAAAGATCACTAGGGCTGCACTGATTAATAAGCACTATTTGGGAATAGGTCGAATAGTCCATTATGTCAATTAACAGTACTCTGCATAAGTTTTTAACACATTAATAGACATACCAGCTTTTGGATACAATAAAGTGCTACTCATACAAGTAAATCTAAGTAATATTAAGAAATAAAATCTTTGAAGTTTTATCATCAGTGGCACTACAACCCATGTAGGGCCCTGGCCTGCTCCACCACATCCATTCGGACCAATGTGATCAAAATTTTCATGAAAATGTCAATTAACTCTAGATGTCTAAGCTATCCCCTCTGTTCACCTAAATGGAGAAGGAAGTTATAAATGGAGAACGAAGTGCAACGAAAAGCAGAACCGACTCCAATCCAACAAGGACCCTAAAACATGTGTGTTATATGTGGGGCAAGATTTTCTAGGCACATTATAGGACTGGCTAGCCACGTGCAGACTCACCATTGAATATAACCTTGGTCATCTTTGCATAAAGAAGATGAAAGAAATTTGGAAGATGAAAGCAATATTTTGTGTTTAAGAATTTCATTTAGCGCAGTTAGGAATTTTATTTTGTGAAATCAGTGTCATCATATTTTTTTCATCTTCCCATTGAAAAACAGGAAAAACTGATTTTTTGGAGTTAGGGCTGAAAATTTGATAGAATGTGTGTCACCGACTATGTGCAAAGTTTCAGCTCGATAGGTTGACAGGAAGTGGGTCAATTAGTTGTCCAAAGATTTTTGGCAGCCACCAACAAATGCGAAGTTAATATAAAGGATATAAAACGAGCAATTGTTTATTATGACTCTGAAGGGGCCATGGGGGTAAAAAATGATAAAGTGTGATACAAGGGGACATACATGACATCACAATATTTTTGATGATTATTTACCCCTTCCCCCTATGTCACAAAAATTTAGCCCCTCTCACTCAAAATATTACATCTCAAACCTCTGCCTCCCTTTTAAAATCAAATCACTATCATTGTTGAGAAATATTTGCTGCTTCAATTGCCTTCTAATCCACAAAAAATAATTATTGGGGAAAAAAACAACAACATATTTTTAAAATTAATTAAAAAATTAATGACTGGGCAGTTTTCAGATGTACACTTGTTAGAATTTGACATCGGGTACATTGGGAAAACCTGAATGAAGTAAGGGCGCTGTGACTCCAACAAGTTTTGGAACCTCTGCCATAGAAAATTTACAAAGATTATTTTTCTTGGTAAACTGTTTGTTCCTTCCCCCTTCAGGTACTCCTAATTCACAGACTCCAGTCTACTGCTACTTCTTTTTCAACATAATTAATCAGGACTGTCAATGTCACTGAAATATGCTTGAATTTAAAGTCCTCCTGTACTTAAATTTGAGCCCATTTTGGACCTCAGATATATGCATGCGCACTAGTTCTCCACAGTACTGACTTGCTCAGTAATAATTATGGTGACCGTTGTTTAAAATTGAAAACATTGAATTGAATACAACCAATCATCAATGAAACATTCACAAACATAAACAATGAAATTTAATATCTAGATGATGGATGTCAAAGATGGCTCCAAAGTAAAGAAAAAAGTTGAGAAACGATGCTGCTGGTTTAGACTATATAAGCATGATCTATACACAATACACTATTATTCATTTGAAATTTTAAGCCTATCATGTTCTATGCCTTAAGTATGGCATTGTAGGCCACGCTTTTACAAAACAGTGTCAGTGCTCAACACTGTAGTGGAATTTGACCTCAGGGTTAGGCTATTACAACATGCGTCATGAACAGCTTCTCCTCCATTGCTTAGAATACTTAATATTGTGGGAACCGCTATGTGAGCTTTTGGTATAAGTTCAATCATTTATTTCACTGGAACCCTAGTGTTTATTCTATGAAGTATATCTAGTTGGAAAGGGGATTTTATTCGCAATACCTTAGTATATTTATAAGTCTACATGGTTAGAGGGTACTGTAATATTAAGTAATTAAAGAAGTTTTCACATTCATCCGTGTGCGGGAAGGGGGGGGGGTGTGTTGGTCCCAACTCCCTCTATTTAAAATATCTCAAAAAGCATTTAACTTATATAAATATAAAAGTGTATCTTAGATAGTGGAGACGAAATGTGAACAAAGTCTTCAGGGTTTTAGTCCAGGATTTTGACTTTCATTCGGGTTGGAGTCTCTAGGGATTGTCATTCTACCACAGGAAATCTGCCAGGGGGCAAGTTATAGACCCTCTTGGTCGATGTGTCACGTGCATGGCCTCTAGCCTGTTACCCATCCCTGTGGCGCTACAGCCCATGTAGGGCTTTGGCCTGCCTCACTACTTCCTTCCACTCAGACCTAACTAATGCCTTTCTTTTCCATGCTTGGTCTTTCAGCTGCTGTAGATCTTTTTCTACATCATCTATCCACCTAAGCCTAGGTCTGCCTTTGAGCCTTTTTCCTCTGGGGTATTGGTGATGTACCCTCTTCGTTCCTCTGTCATTTGGCATTCTCTCTAGGTGTCCTGCCCAGCGTAGCCTGCCTCTTTTTATTTCTGCCACTATCGTAGGATCCTGATATAGACTGTATAATTCCTGGTTGGTTCATATTCTCCATCCATATTCATCCTTTGTTGGCCCATATATTTTCTTGAGAACTTTCCTCTCCCATGTGTTTAATAGATTTTCTGCTGTTTTTGTTAGGGTCCAAGTTTCACTTGCATATGTTACAACTGGTCTGATCACAGTTTTATAAATAGTTTTCTTTGTTTCTCTTGTAATGTTTTTACTTTTGAGTATTTTCTGACTACTGAAGTATGCCTGCCCTGCTTGTAAAGATGCGTCTTCTAATTCAATAAAGGATTTTGATATGTCTTTTATACTTTTCCCTAGAAGTGCTATGTCATCAGCATATGCAAGATACTGAAGTGGTTGGTTGTAGAGTGTGCCCGTTGATTGTGGGTCTTGAGTTTCCCTCAGAAAGTATCCTGTTATCGTTCCTCGAGTGTCAATGTGTATGTTTCTAATAACTCTCTCCAATGTTAGGTTAAAGAGCATACAAGACAGTGAGTCTCCTTGTCTTAGGCCTCGTCTAATATGAAATTCCCTTGAATATTCTCCTTGAATCTTGATTTTGCTTTTTGAGTTGTTCAGTGTTACATTAGCCTTGTCAGTTTGTTGGGTATCCCAAACTCCTGCAGAGTCTCATATAAATAGTTTCTTTTGATGCTGTCATAGGCCATTTTATAGTCGACATAGAGTTGATGTACTGGTATATTAAATTCATAGCATTTCTCTAACAGGCATCTGATGGTGAAAATCTGATCAGTCGTTGATCTGTTAGGCCTGAATCCACATTGGTAATCACCTAGTATTTCTTCAGTGTAAGGTTGTAGTCTTTTGGCAATAAGTTTCGTCAGTATTTTGTATGCAACATTTAATAGGGAGATTCCTCTGTAGTTTGTGCACTGAAGTTTGGAGCCTTTCTTGTGTATTGGGGTTATTAATGCTGTTTCCCATTCTGTCGGGATTTTCTCCTCTTGACAAATTTTAGTTATAAGTTTATGTATCTGATTGTGTAGTTCTTTTCCTCCATATTTAATCAGTTCTGCTGTGATAAGGTCTTGTCCGGGGGCTTTGTGATTTTTCATGTAATTAATTACCTCTTTGGTTTCTTCTATGGTTGGGCATTGTATAAACGGGTCTGGTCCTCCCTGTGGGGGTTGATAATCTTCTTCTTGTCTATTGTCTGCATTCAGTATGTCCTCAAAATATTCAGCCCACCTCTCCAATACTTCACTATTTTCCGTGATTAATTCTCCATTGTGGCTCTCAAACATTTGCGGTCTGGCTTGGTATCCATTCTTTTCATCTTTTATCTTCATGTACATTCCTGTTATATTTCCCTCTCTTGATAAATCTTCTATTTCCTTTAGTTTATCCTTTTCCCATTCCCTCTTTTTCTTCCTACACATTTTTGTTGCTTTCCTTCTGGCTTCCTTGTATGCTTGTATTGTCTTTCTGGTTTCCCTTTGTAACATGATCATTCGTGCTTTGTTTCTTTCTTCCACAGTCTCTCTGCATTCATTGTCGTACCAGCCTACTCTATTGTTGGCTTGCTGAAATCCCACTACTTTTTCTGCTGATCTTTTAATGGCATTTTTTATCCTATCCCACTGATCATTTATGTTGTTTTCCCCGTTTATTTCCTCGTGCGATGCTTCTAATTGTGCTTCTACTTCATTCTGGTAAGCTTTTGCAGTTAATGGGTCTTTGGGCAGCTTTTGGTAATCGTATCGTTTCTCTCTTTGATTACGACCATTGTGAACTAAGCTTATCCTCTGCCTATATTTCACCCTTACAAGTAGATGGTCCGAGTCCGCATCTGCTCCTCTAAGGCTTCTAACATCTAATATATCTGATCCATGTCTTCGATCTATTAAAACGTGATCGATTTGATTGCGGGTGATTCCATCTGGTGAGTTCCACGTAGCTTTATGTATATTTTTGTGCGGAAACTTGGTGCTGCTAACTGACATCCCTTTTCCTACCGCGAAGTCTATGAGTCGGATCCCATTGTCATTGGATTCTTCGTGCAGACTTTCCTTGCCAATAGTTGGCATGAACACCTTTTCTTTTCCTATTTTGGCATTGAAGTCTCCAATCACTATTTTAATATCATGTCGTGGTGCCTCTTCGTAGATCTTTTCCAGTGTTTCATAGAAGGATTCTTTATCCTGATCTTCCGTGTCTTCCGTTGGAGCATGTACATTTATCAATGTTATATTGAACATTTTTCCTCGCACACGCAAAGAACACAATCTTTCGTTCTCTGGTTTGAAGCCTATGACTGCACTGATCGCTTCTTTTTTCACTGCAAATCCTGTTCCTAGTGTGTTGGTGTTGCTACCACTATAAAATATGGTGTATTCTTTTGTCTTGAGGATGTCTGAATTTTTCCATCGAATTTCTTGCAATGCAGCAATAGATATTTTATATTTGACGAGCTGATTTACAAGGTTGGCTAAGGCTCCTGCTCTAAACAGGCTTAGTACATTCCAAGTCGCAATCCAAAAATCATGTCCATATCCATGCATAGGTCGATTTCCATTGGTATCAGTCCGGGTTTTGTTCAGTTGCTTGGCTTTCGTAACGTTGGTTTTTTTATGTGGCCGGGTTGTTAACCCTGCGCACAACCGTCTGGGGGGTTGCCCCTTACAGCTCTCTGGATAGCTGCCTTAGTTTTTGGGTAAGGTTCCCTAGCCTTTGTGGTTCCCTCCACTTCCTATAAGGCAGTAGGTTCTGATTTTGGTCCGCCCCAGGTATTTTATTTCCCTGGTACCCTCCATATCTGGTGGGCTTTCCCCTATCCGCCACCTGGGGAGGCGCTCGATGGAAGATCAGTATCTCAGCACGAGCTCTAGCCTGTTAGCACATTCTAATTTACAGGGCACGCGCTAATGAGTTTTTTATTTAAAGTTTTAATCACATTCCCAAAGTGTGCCATTGTTCACCAGGCCATTTGGACGCTTTGTCAGTATAAGCAAAAACGCTTTTATATTTCTGTGTTTATTGAATGCAATTTTTAGGTGTTAGTAATGGAAGATTTCTGTTCATGACTTATATTAGGCAGTGTTTTAATCACTTTTCCATCAATCTTACTTGTAACCATGATATTGTGATGGTTGAACATACAGCAATCCACATAATTCTTAAATGGAATTAGTTACCAGTGGGTATGTGAACATAACATCCACATAATTCTTAAATGGAATTAGTTACCAGTGGTATGTCAACATACCATTATACAATTATATTGTTCTGGTTACATATACAGCAATGTGCTTAAAATCTATTGATACAACAGTATTTTACCAGCTAATATATGTAAAATATGTGTTGAAGACAAACTGTCCTGCCATGCGCAAAATTCTCATATAGAAAATGGTGCATGTGTTAGGCTAATATTACCAGCTGTATTAATATAATTAGACATTCTGCAATTTGTCTTAAAAAGATACAGCAGTTGATTGATACAAGTTTAGGGTAGCCCTCACATCTGATCTCGCATTGAATCTGAATGTAAGATGGTGTAGTATGGTATACATGCTACAAGTTAAACACTGCTACGTGATTTCTTTTATAATGAAACATTACTAAAATAATATAATTTTAATTGCCAATCTATTTCTATTCTTAGTAAAGTATATTTTGTCACAATCTGTAATTACAGAGTTATTAGTTATGTCATGTAACATGTTTATTGTTAGCTGTGTAATTCAATGTTAGTGTTAGTTAGTCAGGACATTGACAATTGTTAACCTGTACTATTTGTTTCTTTTCTGAACTTTTCAGATGTTTTCCTTTTTCTTCATATTTTTCTTTGGCTTTGTTAAAAGAACCAAATAAAGTTATAACTATAATAGTCTATAGTCCTCAAGACCTGATCAGTGATTTTCACAATATTAAAATTAAAACTGTCAGCCACAGTGCACACAGGGCTACATAACATAACTTGACATAAGTGTCATAATCATAATGAATACATATTCTTTTATTTACATTAAATTATTATTTAATTAAAAACTAGCCAACTAGCCTAATGATAAACACCGAGTAGGGCTTGAGTAGGCGTAGGCATATGCCTACAAACATTACTATTAATTTTCTTAGACTTAACTTGGACATAAGTGTCATAAGAAAATTTAGCTGAGCAACTTACTACGAACGACACTTACTTTACTTAGTCTTACTAAACTTACTTAGACTTAACTGTAACTTCATTTTAACCCTACTATTATTATTATTATTATAAATTATAAGGTGGACCGCTTTTAGGTAGTACTCTATTAATATTAGTACTACTTAGTAGAAGCACAACAGCCAGTCTAGTTTGTACTAACCACGTCAACATCTGTAATATAGTTTATATAGGGTACTTAAAATTATGTGTGTATAGAAAGGAGTGCTACGTCCGTTGTCGTCTTCTTTGATGTGTCCGGCCTGCGTTAAGTTTGAAATTCGGTCGAAATTCGCTATTTTGCATGTAAAATTTGGTTTGTAAATTTCTTCTTCAGTTTAGACCCCCCTCCCCGACTTTAAATACCAAATTCTAATTCAGAAACAAATAAATTATCTGGGGAGGGGAGACCCCCTCCCCAGAACTCCTCCCCAAAGCCTAAACTAAAGCCACAAATAATAATAATAATGATTAATTAATATAAATTAATTAATTAATGCATTACTTACGTACACCGCTGAAAATTTGACATCTAACATCTAATATGAGAGCTACATGTTGAAATACAACATTCCTGTTTTTCTGGTCCCAAGGTACTGTAGTACCAGGACTTGTAATGAAAACCCTTTTTTTATTTATTTTAGGCTTAAGTTTGTCTATGTTACATATAAAAATAAAAAATTATAACTCAGTTTGCTCAGATAACTTTCTTATCGACAGTTGAGTTATATTACTTGTTGTTACGAAATAAACTGGTTTGGATAAGTTATACATTTTGAAATGTACAAATGAATCTTCCGTCAGATTCTGCGTTATATTATTTAACTAAAATTCAAGAGAATGAAACTTAAATATGATAATTTAACAAGTAACCCAGCCCCAAGCGTTCACAATTTTACTTTGACTTTGGTCGTTTACACCTGTGTTTCTAACTTTCGTTGCCAACTTTTCCCAGACAAAAATGAAAAAAAGTCCGTGAAAACTCCCAATTTTATTATTATTATTTTTAAAAATTCCCCCAATTCTCAAAATATCGTATCCCTACTCTATCAATATTATTTATCTTGACTACACATGACACTTGAACCTTGTCCTTGTTCCATACCTGCAACATGATCAAAACATATCTCCCCAGCATGGGCGCCCGCAGGGAGGGGCAAGGGGGGCACTTGCCCCCCTGGATTGATTGGATAAAATTTTTTTAGACAAAAATAGACAAAAAATGTATTAAAGTAAAGAGAACATAAAGAGAAAGTAACTAAGCTGATGTCCTGTCCGTTCGTTCACCATACAAACACGCTACAGTAAATTAAAACTATATTAAAACATTGCTTAAAAAAATTAGCTGCCCCCCCTGGAAAGTTAATCGATTTTTTTGCCCCCCCCCCCCAGAAAGTTTTCTGCGGGCGCCCATGCTTCCCTGTCAATTTCGACAAACAGATTCTACAGGTGAAAATAGGCCAATTTTTTAATTCTCTTGAACTAACAAAGTGTGCAAACATTATGACAAGCCATCTGCAGTGCACAGGCAGACATACATTAGATAAATCTTATATTGTTAAAAACCTAAAAATTATATGAAAATTTACACTCATTAATTTTTTTTTTAAAATGTAATAACCAGTCAATTTTTAAGACTAAAATTTTAAGAGAAAAAATGATTGTTGACGTCAATTAATCTAACCCCTCCCACCCAATTGTCAAAAATTGTCAAACATTTCCAAACCCACCTCTCCCAAATTTTTTGACATAAGTAATGGACACCCCCTTATTTAAATTTAATTTATACTTATTTAAATGCTTTTTTTTTTTGTTTTTTTTTTTGTACTGATGAAAGCGTTTGCCGAAAAGTTTACATTTGTAAAATCATCATTAAAGTTAAAGCTGAACATATTTCGTTTTATTTACACACATTATTTGTGTCTAATTAATCTGAAATAATAGGGGCTCTTTTATTACAATTATTTATTTGTTTTAATTATTAATATTTTACACAGTTGAATTTTTCCTTAAAATTTAAACAATTTGTAACACAAGGCTGAATAATAAAACAGGTAAAATCAATTTATGTATAAATATTGGCTTTTTAAAAATGTCGGTAAGTAGTAAACCCTTTTATATTGACTTTTCTGAGCATTTTATAAGAATATTTACAACATAAATTGACCAATGAAATTAAAATAAAAGTTCATGTCAGCTATAGTTTAGATCAAAAAGCACTAAGTAAGTATTTTATAATTGAACTTCCATGATATTATTATATTAGGCCGTGAGCCCAGTCTGTAGAAGCCCAGCAGAAAGAGAATTAGATCAGAAGGCCTGAGACTTGAGACTGGTCTGAGAATACCCAAACACCAAATCACTGAGACTGAGAAGGCGAAGTCTAAAATGAATTAATAAGATAATAAATAAGAAGGGACAGGCGGACATGTTTCACATCTCATCACACTATCACAGAGAGTCGACATCAGATGTACTCGTCAGATGAGATAGGCCTAGTTAAGTTGTAGTATAAAAAAATGGAGTATCTAGAATTATATTATGACTATGTGATAGATAGATGTATAATCATAATATATAACTTATAGCAGGAGAGATGATTAATTACAGATTATTACTTAAGTAATATTAAGCAAATCTTCAATAAGAATAGATAGCACCATGACCTCATTTGTCATTTGCTGTTTAGTTAAGTTGCTGTTTTGTTAATAAATAATACAGAGACTCCCCACCTTACAAATGTCTTCCGAACGGCAACTCATACCATGATCGTGACTTTGTTTGTAAAATGTTATTAAACTAGGCTATTACTAGGTTGGCTGTCAGTGGCGTTGCTGTTGACTACGATTATCTTCTACTAATGTGCGTGAGATAAGAGCTATAAATTCTATCAAGTAATAAACAATAAAAAAGCTAAAATTAAAATGAAGGGGAACATGTATTTTTATAATATTAACAATTAGTGATTTGATTAGAGTTAGAGTTTAGATAGGTAGTTCGGTAAGATCCGGGAAGTGCCAAAAACCGGGTCTCGTGATTTCGTTGTTAAAATGGCGACCTCCATTTTTTTAATTACCGAGAGTCACGTTGTTTATGACTTTTTAACTATTTATAGCCCAGCATGTAAATTCTATTTCTACCCACAACTTAGAGTGGACATATTGTGTTATGATTAGACCCTTGAGTCCCCCAAAAAATATTGTGGCCTCACTTTGAAAATTGAAGGTAAAATAACGCAATTTTTAATCATTCATATTTTTTGTGTGGAAATGAGCCTTTCTTCGAATTTCAAGGACTTTATTAATAATGGCATTAACTACAACTTTAATCACGTGTGTCCCAAAATTACCTATTATCGTTAATATTCGTTAATATAACCTGATTTACTCTGGAAATCCAGCCTATTACCCCCTAATAACTCATTTAAAAATAAAAAAAAATAATTAATAAAACAAATACATATTTTTAATATGATTTGATGCTTTTATTGAGGGATATTAGGTTGAAAAAGCCTTATTAATTACAATTTATAGTTAACTATTAGTTTTATATACTGGTATATGTATACTATTAACTATATATATCAATATACTATATATATAATATATATACAGTGCTTTTTTTGTGCCGGTATGCACCGGTACGGCGTACCGGCACCTTTTTCAATGTGGGGAAAAAATTATTACTTTTCTTGTATTTTAACGTTTATTATTAATTAATACGGTATACTAATAAAGTAATACCGTAATAAAACAATTTAAGTTGGTTAATTATAAAATAAAATTGTTTTAGACATTTAGTGTCTTTGCAGTTGTGATTTAGCTTGCATCGAGATGCGAACTGGTAGTTAAAAGTTAGGCAATCCATCACTGAGTACCGGCACCTATTTTTTTTACAAAAAAAGCACTGTATATATATATATATATATATATATATATATATATGTATGTATATATAGAGGCCTAGAATAGTATTACTATTATAAGTGTAGGCATATCCCCCCCCCCCAATAATTATTTGTAGGACCCATTATTCATATGTAATGATATATATGGGGATTCTTAAGGCATAAATTAAGTAAAAATGTACAAAAAATATTCACTTACCTTTGGTATTGAAATATCCTATATTTAATCACATATCACACTTCCAAAAGAGAATTACTACATAATCCTAAGTATTCTCAAAGAAAAAAAACACTTTCTACCACAATAATCCAAGAATTACATGAGATATTACTAACATTTAAAAATGAAACATTGTAATTACCTCAAGCAAATAACTAGAACTTATTTAAAACTCTATCAACAGCGAAAGTTGATTCTAACAATAAATGTTGATCTGTGAAACAACTTTATTAACTTAAAATAAATGACATACTATTTTTGTCATATTCACACATTCATATGGTATGGGACTAAAATACATTATATTATATAGAAAATGGTAATGTGTAATAGTCAGTTTTAACTTATGGAAACAAATAATCCCTTTATTATTAGTATATATTATATACTTATATATTTTAAAAAATTCCACAGAAAATTTGAAATTAATGTCTTAAGAATATTTTATTATTATTATGATTTTTGGGAAATTGAAAAAAAATATTTATACATAATTAATTAATTAATTAAAAATAAGTGACGAGTCAGCATATTTTATATATTTTTAATAGGAAAATAATTAAGATTTTAAAATAATTTTTGCGGAATATTTACAAAAACTAACTTATATTTTGTGGTTTTATTTAGAAGTACTCTAATTAAAATATGTTCCCTGTAAATATTATATGTTTGTCTCATTTTATAATAAAGTTATAGGCCTTTAAAAAAAAGCAAAATGAGGGTCACAAAATGTGGAGGAAAATCCTATAGTAAAAAGGTGCCTTTGAGGTCCCTACTAAAAAATTCATAATTTTTGAACCGCTTGAGCTAGAAAGTTGATCTTGGTGTTTTTGTAATCTATTCTCCAGGCTCTATACAGCTGTAGTATTTTTATATTTTTAAAAATATTTTGAAATTTTCATAAAAGTGCCTAGTTTAGACTAACAAAACAGAGTAGACCGAGGCCTTAAAACTTTAAGTTCAAGTCAAGGCTTTATTAACTTTATAAGTATATAGCTCAGCTTTCCTTTTTTAAAAAAAAATTATTGGAAGTTAAGTTAGGAATATAGGATACATTTAATTACAAAATTTTAAGCTTGGCCTAATTTTTCAATAACACTGTTAATAACAAATTCAATCTATTTTTTTTTTTTGTGTGTGGCCGGTGGGCTCTAATATTAAAATAAAGTTGTCAACATTTACTCAATAAATGAATTTATTTATTGTCTCTTCAAGAAACAACCATGTCTAATGTACCAGAAAATGCCCCAGAGCATTGCCCTGGCACAAGCAGTGAATCAGCTGGAAAAGTAGAAGCATGTGTGGGTTGTCCAAACCAGGCCATTTGCTCATCTATTCCAAAATTAGGGCCAGATAAAGCTGTTGAAGAAATCCGCCAAAAACTTTCCGGTGTCAAACATAAGGTATGAGAAATACTGATTCTACAAATACTTCAGTGAGTCCCAACTATTAAAAAAAAGCATGTTTATTAATTAGAATAATAAGAAAAATGTTAAAAAATTAAAAGAAAGATTATTTTGTTCTTATCTAAATTGTTTTTTTATTTTTATTAGATCCTGATCTTGTCAGGTAAAGGAGGTGTTGGTAAAAGTACATTCACAGCTCACCTTGCTCATGCCTTGGCAATGGATGAAAATAGACAGGTAATGAATTTAGTGTGTCAAACTATCAAAACAAAACTAATTAATTAAATCAGGGGTGCCTCTAATTTTAAGTGATCTGTTGAGTACTACCTTCACTTTTTGCTTAATTCTTATATAAATATTGTTCTGTTAAAGCTATTTTTAAAAACTTGATATTACCATTAATTAGTAGAAATACAGTTTATGATGAATGTATGTTTTATAAAGATAAGTAGCGGATAAACGTAATGCAATTATCCAATAGTAGTGGTGGGTAGCTTAACATTATATTATTTTCTATATTGCTTTATAGTTTTTTGAAAAAATGTTAGTCGCTGTGAAGTGCAGTTAATAATTAGACACTCTTTTGTGTTCTCATTTATATGAAATTATGTACCTGTTTTAATTAGAAGGAAAGTAAAAAAAAGCAGCGATACAATTTATCATGCAGATAGGTGTACTTGATGTGGACATATGCGGTCCATCCATGCCGAGAATAATGGGCGCAGAAGGAGAGACAGTACACCAGAGTGGCTCTGGCTGGTCACCAGTATATGTTCGAGACAACCTTTCAATGATGTCTGTGGGATTTTTGCTTGGTATGTCATTAGAAATAAATACCATATTAGAATAAACGTTTTCAATTAATTGTATGGTAATAAATGTGAAAATTTTGACTATAATTTTATTTTCTGAAAAAAATGTTTTAATGCATTAAAATTATCATTGTTCTTTAGGATCTCTTGATGATGCTGTAATATGGCGAGGGGCTAAAAAATCTGGCATGATTAAACAGTTTCTCCGAGATGTTGATTGGGACAAGCTTGACTATTTACTTGTTGACACACCTCCTGGGACTTCCGACGAGCACTTGGCATTAATTCAATATTTGTCAGGAGCTGGCATTGATGGTGCTGTTATTGTAACCACCCCACAGGAAATAGCCCTGTGTGATGTACGGAAAGAGATCAGCTTTTGTCGAAAGACATCTTTGCCAATAATTGGCATTGTTGAGAATATGAGTGATTTTGTGTGTCCAAAATGCCATAAATCATCTATTATTTTCCCACCGACAACAGGTGGTGCAATCAAAATGGCAGAGAATCTTGGTGAGAGATTCTTGGGAAGTTTGCCATTGGATCCTAGAATTGCACAGTGTTGTGACGAAGGAAAATCTTTCTTTGAAGAAGTGCCAGATTCGCCGGCAGTTTCAGTATTCAAGGCGATTGTGGAAAAGGTTGTTAACTACTGCACAGGCCTGGCAAAGCACATGGAGGCAGACACAGGCGAATCTAACATGGAAGTTTCGTAACTTATGACAAATGCAGAGTAAAAAAAAAGTTATGTTGACATGTTGTCAAGAAATCACATGTCCATTTGACAAGCCTTGCATTATTTTTTTTTAAAATTTAGCCACTGTATTAACCAGGTTATTACAGCTGAATAAAATGAGCAGGTCCAATGTGTTGTACATTTTATTTGAAACAACTTTGTTGATTATATGGCAAATTTTCTAGTTTTAAAATATTGAGTTAATTTTTTGTAATTTTTTTCTGTCTAGCAGGGATGATGTATAAGCAATGATAAATATCACATGCATTTACTAATGGTGGAAACAAAATTTGAAACTTTTTTTTTTTTCCAGATTGGAGAAAATGTTTTTAACTTTTTATTCTTTAAATTTCTGTTAAATATTTGATGATTAGACAATTTATATATTTTGTATCCTATTTTCATATGAAACTTGATAACTGTGAAATTTGTTTTTAGAATTGGCTTTACAAATATTAATGACATGATAGAAGATTAATTTTTCTCATTATGTCCATTTTAATTCTCGCTTTTGTTCATGGCTGGCTGACAAGCAAAATCCTTGGAAGGCTAACTGACCCACTTCCTGTCAACCTATCAAGCTGAAACTTGGCACTTAGAGTCAATGCTGATGACAACACATTCTATCAAATTTTCAGCCCCACCACCTAACCCCAAAAAATCAGTTGGAGGAAGTATGATAACACTTATTTTACAAAATGAAATTCTCAATAACTGCACTAAATGACATTCTTTTTTAAAGAAATATTGCAAGTATGTATGGTGCTTAGTCTTAATATTTTCTTTTGTTTTAAGGGGTCGTTTAATTATGTGACTTAAATGATGAATCTTGATTGTTAACTCGAGGGGTTAGAAGCTTTGACTGACTAATCTCTATCTCTAATCTTGTGTAATGTCATTAATTAGCAATAATTTTTTTTTTAGCTGCTCTCAGAGAAATTTGGAAACAGTTTGCTTAATTCAAGTATTGTGTTTCTTTGAATTAGATCACAATTGTAAGTTTGGAATTCCAATTGTGGGCATCAAAGGTGTGGTGAATTAAACCTACTATGCTATAACTTTAAATCTAATAGGTATAAATTAAGTAAATATAATTGCTTAAGGTGTGCACAGTTATAGATTGCCATTAGGATTTGTTATGGCTTATTTAAAACAGAAACTAAATAAAACAGGAACAAACAATGTGCTATGTTGCTTTTGTCAATGACCCTTCAAATGATCTCATGTTTTTTTATTTATAAATACATATATAGGAAGAGGAAATTAAATAGATTGCAGCTCAAGTCTAAAAAATGATAAATCAATGTAATTTTTGTGTTGATAACTTGAAAAAAATAGGCTTATGGAGGAATAACTCACCTTTGGAAATATTTATAAATAAATAAATAAATAAAACAAACATTATTATGGCCCTGCATTCGTTCACATATTTTTTTTTGTATTTGGTAATACTTCTTAGAGAATAAAATAGTATCTACTTTTTAATTTTATAGAAAGAGAATGAAAAAACAAAACCATCTTGGCCAAAAAATTAAAGGGAACACAGGTGTTATGCTAATCATCAATGTATATTTTCAACCAAAACTTTAAAGTGTTCACAATCAATTACAGAGAAGAAATTTAAATAGACTTTTATAGACAACCAAAATTGACGGAAATTGAAGGCAACAGTCAGCTCCAGTTTGGTTCCCCAGAGAAACTATGAGTCATCCTTTATGGGCTAACCAGCATAACTACTCGGGAGTCAAATATCATGTCATAAAACCTATCAAGAAAAAAACCTATTGGGGAAACAGCACAATAATGATTTAAGCTTACACTGCAACCACAGGGAGAGATTCTTGTGTTCATTTTCTAATTTATAAATAAGTCTTTCCTCAAAAACATTGCTTTGTAGCATGGATGAAATTAAAAATACAGGGAACGTTTTATTTTGCCAACATTGCAGCAGCTGAGTTATAGTTTATAGGAAAATAAAATCTTAAAAAAACCCTCTATAACAACATATACCAGGTAAGTCACACATTCAACATCAATGCTGAAACTGTGCTATTTTATTGTATGCACATTGTTTACATCTGGGTATGTTATTGTGTCTATAACCCTGTGAGCCTCATTCAAACATTTGCAATTAAAATTAAATACTACATACTTTTCTAAAAGAAATAATATTCCACAACTTATTATTTGAACACAGAAATGTCATGTGAGCTTCATCCCCTCCCTCATTTCATGTAAAAAAATCATTTTAATTTCCTAAATGCCAATACAATAAAGAAAATTATTTGATAAGAAGCATCACAATTCTAAGCTAACACAAAATAACTGAATTGTTAACGTGCAGAAATTAAAAATTATGTCATAAAAGAAAATAACATGATATTTTGAATAAAATCATAACACTTAAACGTTAAGTATTGCAAATAATATATTCTTGTTTAGTTTTAGGGTAGTTCAGCAAAATTTAAAAAAAAACCTGCAAGAACAAAGTAATCAGCAGTTAAAAAGTTTGAAAAAAAAATTTGTTTTTCTATGGGAATTTACGGAATCCTGTCATATTCTTTGAAAATTAAAATCAAATTTGACCACAATATTTATGAGTTATAATTAAATTGTTACCAATCATGCAAAGCAACAAAAAAATGTGTTAAACACATAAGTCGAGAGAGGTCAAAGTCAGAGAAGCTAAGAAAGATGTATATGGTAATATTAATACTGAAGCCAAAAGAATATCAGAACCACTTATTAATTATAAAATGAACTTTAATCAAACTTGGCAACAACAAATAAGAATAACAAAGGCTGTAGAAAAAGAAAAACAACAATATGAACCTACCTGCAAGTTATTTTTTTAACAACACAAATACAATGTATGTGGTCGACAGAATTTGAAGCTACATAAAACTTGGATAAAACTAGACAAAAAATTGCTTTAACCTGAGCTGGACTCCCAGGAAAATGCAACCAAAATATATCCATCAAAATGTAACTAAATAATATCTCAAGAATATGACACACCAAGGCAGCAAGATCTCATGTTACATAAATAGAATTTTGCATCCCAGACAAACATTAAAATCGACCATCTTCATCCCTTGCACACAATAGTGAACAAAGGCTGGAACATAAATACTGTCTGGACATTGTGGATTAATCAAAATTTTAAAAAATCAATATTAACCCTAATCAGCCTGACTGTTACAAAAATAAATTTTAAAAAAGCGTTGCCAAAGCAGAAAAAAAATATTATTAGTGCTAGAGGGGTCATTTAGCTCTGATTTAAAAATGTGAGATTTCCACAATATATGTAAAAAAAATAAATAAATAAAATCTACTGTGAATTCAATACTAATATAAACTCCTGGAGTTAAAAAATAGCAGACTCATGTGTGGCCTCCTGGAAAAAATAGTAAACAATGAGAAATTGGGTGAATGCATATATATAATTCCTTTTTATGTAAATAGTTCATAGAAGTTGACTTAGACAATAATTTTTAATAACCTTAGCATTGATAATGCATATAACACAATCACTGTTAATTCAAAAATAAAATTCAGTGAGATCTGCTGGGAACTTATGGTAAGCTCACATGGAGGAAACAATTCAAGAATTCAAGACAGGTAGGTCACGGCAAATCACATGTAAAGAAATCACTGTTTCAATAATGAATTTGATGATTTTGTGCATTAAAAAAGGAATGAGTTAATATCTATGGAGTGACTCCAATTTTAATTAACCTAGGTGATTACTGCCAATATCTCCTATGAACTTTGGCCAACTAGAACAGTATGGCTACATTTGCTCCCTTTGTGTGAACTCATAAATTATATTTGTGAGACATTTTCAAAAAGATTTGTTGAGAGACATCAACGTTTGCAACATATTAAAAACATTCATGCAGATATGTTTGATCTCTCAACTTTAATTTTTGAATTTACTAAAATTTAGTTTACTATTTAATTAAAAATTTCATCTACTTTGGCAAAACATAATTTCAATTCACTACAGACATAAAGGGCTGTTATACTTTCCACATTCACAAACTGATTTAACTTTTACTCATACAGACATTAATAGCCTTATTACATACATATAAGCATAGATTGAGCCTAATCACAAGCAAGTAGAGATTTATCCTCACTTCACACACTGTAAACATTATGTGCCACAAGAAGCCATTGCCTCACGAGTTTTATAAATCAGTAAACTTCATACAGTAACCAAGAGAGCCATATGCACAAAAAATATTTTTTTATCACATACACAGCCAAATGTTGCCCCATAGCTAGGACCTAGGTATTAGAGACAGCAAACTTTGCTAGACAACAGTGGCACCGCACCCCGCACGTCCAATCTTCATGCCACTTATCACACTCCATGTGTCAAGTTCTGGGTCATACATTTCACAGTGGCGTAATCGAGAATTTCCATCAAAGCCACCACATACATATATTCTGTTGTCAAATACTGCAATGCCAAACCAGGCTCTAGGTGTTGTCATAGGCGTTATGGTTGTCCACTGTCTTGATACTGTGTTGTACCTGAGCGGACATAAGAAATCTTTACACAGGCATTTTGTAAATGGTTAAAATAATGTAAACAAATTTTTTAAATTAAAAAAAAAAAAAAAAAAAAGTAGATTTTAAAAACAGTGACACTCTATTAAATAATAAATAATATATTATTATAGTAATGGGAGCAAATATTTAAATATTTTTTATAATTATAAAATATTATTTCTTATTTATGGTAAAATACATTATAACCTTAACAACCAATAAATACACCTAATTCTCTTGTTATCTAGCTGCATGTTATGTATAACAATTTATATTATTTAAAACAGTTAAATCTTTTACTTCAAAAGTACACCTGTGATCTACTAAGGCTTCAAAATGATTCGGGCTGATGAGTTCAAAAATAAAATCTCACCTCTCAACAAGATCAAAGTACTGGTCTATATGCCTATACCGTCCACCAAAGGCATAAATGAAATGATCCAGCGTGACCATAGACAGCCCTGAACAGGCTTTCTCCATTTCTGGTGCAAATGACCAGTCACCAGTGTCAGGGTCATACACCTCCATGCTCGCCCTGTCCATGTGTGGACCTTTGTCATATCCACCTGCAAAAATTATAGAATATTCAGTCTAACTTTTTGTAATATTTATAATAATTAATATCTACTGTGAAGACAAAAATTTACATGGTGTGTTTTAAATTTTATGCATAAAGCGCTTAATGTAATAAAACATTTTACTTTGGTAGCCTGTTTTATTATTTAATTTATACAATTTTAAGACATATTTTACAAAGAGTAACATTATAGGAAACAAAAAAAACCCATAGTTTAACCAAAAATATAATATTAAATTAAATTAAAAACCTTATATTTGAAAGGAAAATGATTATGTACACATGTATTTATAAATGTTTGATTTGATATATAATTTTAAAATTTACAATGTCAGGTTGTGCGATTGTATATCTGAATGCCAATATATATATATTTTTTTTTATTAGAAAAGGGCTTAAGATAAGACCACACATATTTTTCCATTACTATCTGCATTATCTGTTAATTTTATTTTCAACTAATTTCTGCACCTGTCAGTAGGTCCTACCTGCCACATATATTTTTCCATCACAGACTGTCACACCAGCCCCAGCTCTCCTCCGTTTCATACAGTTTACAAATGACCATGTCTCTGTTTTCGGATCATATCGTTCCACAATGTTGTAGCTGCCAGCCCTATCCTCACCACCTGGAACATAGATAAACAATGACGCTGCCATAGCGGTACACAATACATGTAAGCCAATCACCAAAAATTGGGTTTAGGACAGTGCTTCTAGTTAAATTTTATCTAATGTATAAAAAGTGTTGTGACGCACTCGGGCTACGTTAATTAAATCAACAGTAGAGAGCTCGCTGTCTGAATTATTATTCGTTTGTTGATTTAAAAAGAAATTACCTATTACATAAGGAGTGAATACAATTTTAACCATGGTGAATAAATACAAATAGCCCCTAAAGAACGTTTACAAGTATAAAAGTGTGTATGTACTTAAGAATTGAGCATTGATACATTAAGTGCCATTGTAAAAAGACAGGAGATAGGTAACATTAATGCTCATTTATAAATGACTGCTCCTTTGGTGTTTCACAGAACTCTTAAATCTTGTCTTTCATTAACAGTTTTATTTGTCTTATTTTATTGATGGATAATTACCTATAGCATACAAATGTCCCCCCACAGCTGCTACTGCTACAAATGAACGGGCGAGCTTCATGTTGGGTTTGTGCTCCCAGCGTTTTCTGACTGGGTCGTACATCTCGACACAATGAAGATAAAGTGTGTCGTCTTGTGTGTCTGCCAGCGCACATTCCCCGCCCACAGCATATAAGACACCATCAAGGCTGGCAGAACCTACAGCTGTCCTGGCTATGTTCATAGGCGGCTGAGAACAAAATAAAAGCTGAATTAATAGGAAGACCTTTATAATAATAACCAATGACTTTTTACTAGTTTTTAATTCAATGATGTTTTGTTAAACTAATTTTATTGGATAGCAACCAGGAAACGAAACCATATGTTATAAGAAAACTGAGTTGTAGTACTCACTAATATGTAGAATTATTTTAGCACAAAAGCAACAAAATCTCTCAAATAGATTATTTAATAAAGGATAAATATGTCTTCTATCTGGAATGTTAACACACAATGTCTCTAAAGAATTCTTATCACTTCCACTGACCATGTGTATCCACTGATCTAATAAAAAATCATATCTTTCTGTGCTTTTCAACTGACTGTCTGTGCTGTTGCGACCCCCCATGACATAAATACATGGCGGCTGGGCTCGGGGGGTCACACTCTCCACTTCACTGCACTCTTGTTTCATACGGATGGCTTTACTAATGAGCAACTGGCATTTGGGACATGTTCGGAAATACTCAGACTTGAGCACAACATTTTCTAAGAAAGGGCGCTCCAGCAGGACAAGGCGAATGTTTTGAAGGATGACACAAGCTCTGTCCAGACGCTTCCCTGGGTCATACTGGAGCCAGGAACATGCTGCTTCAAAAACTTGGTTCTCACTCATTACCTGAAAAAAAATAAAGGGAATTTTCACTGTCTTAACAGAATAAGAAGTTTTTAACTGTTTTGCCGCTTAAGAAAAAAAACAAAAATTAATATTTTTTAAATTGCGTCATCAAATGAGAACTAAAGGCAAAAAACTTGATATTTGCTTAGATTCTTATTAACTGAAGATAAAAAAAAACATGCAAAGACTTAAGTCCACTTGGAACAGACCAAGAGGCTACATTGTATGCAGTTGTGTAATATTGCCCATGCATCAAAATCAACCAGCACCAACTAACCATATAAATATTTTTGTTTGTTTTTTAAATCCTTTATATTAACTTCGCTTTATTTGTGTGTGCTTGAGACAAAATCTTCAGACGGCTAATTGACCCATTTCCTATCATCCTAGCGAACTGAAACTTGGCAAAGAGACTCAATGCCGAAGACAACACATTCTATCAAAGTCAGCGCACCCACCCCCCAAATCAGTTCTTCCTGTTTTTCAAGGGGAAGATGAATGAAATATGGTTTGTTCAATGGTTCCGTGTTTTGGTGTGGAGAATGATCTAGTAGCTGTTGCTATGTGCTTTGTATTTGTAACTTATTTTGGGTTTAAATAATATATATTTAGTCTATTAGGTTTTACATGCTTTAAGTTTAAAAAAAAAACAATCACATACCAAAAAATGATAAATCATGTACAATTACATACATTCAAACAAAAATGCATATAAAGGATTTATACGAAAAACCATATTTTAAGGGTTGTTTATTTAAAATGTTTATCTTCCGCTGCTAAACCTAACGTATTGTTAGAACCCACCTGAAGTTTGTCAGACTTGAGGAGATTTATTAACCTATCTTCTGGAAGCTCAAAGAACTCCTCCATTCTAATAACATCAAGAAAATTTTGATAGATAAACTGCCTTGCCACAGCTTCTAACTCTGTACATGAATACACATCAGCAAAGTAGTGAATACCTGTTGGGGAAGAAATTGGAGTTATATTTTTTAAAATTTAAAGTAATGAATATTTGGTGTAAATAATTTTGAGTATTATTGAATATTCCATGTGATATTTTTATCAATGTTTTCCATCCTGAAAATTTTTAAGAAACTTGCACCAGCTCCTGAAATTATTAAAATATTAACCTTAAAAAGATTTTTGATATTTTCACTGTATTAATTTAAAGAATAATTTTAACGAAAATAACATCATTTTTGATTTACCTAAACAATTTGAAGCTGTTAGTTGATTCTGAAGAAAATGTGCACACATTGTGCGCAGTGCATGAAGTCCTAGCATGCTTGCACCTTGAAGCACTGCTTGCACATTGTCCACAGTCACCTCCATGCAACATGTATACATAAAGTCTAACAGAAGACCCATGGTAGATGCCTCTATGCCATGTAGCTCCACAAATTCCCGTTCTGACTCGAGCATCCCATTAGTAAACATTGCACGGAGATATGGGCTGCAACCAGCTAAAACCACCTGGGGAAATGTATTAGATTAAACACATTGTTGCTTGAAATTTGTTTGCACAGCAAAGCAAATTATGAAAGATCACATTCAGGTTTTAGCACAAGAAAAGTTTTAATTGTCACAATTTAGGTACATTACTTAGAGTATAAGGTAGATCAATAATATTTTTAAAATAATTTTCTAGTATTTGGTTTCATAATATGATAAGAAATACATTTTATTAATTTTGAAGATTTGAATTGAGAATTACAAATGACTATGGTTTGCAGTAGCCCATAAACTTACATTTAAATAGAAATCCAATGACACACTAAGAAATGTATATATTTTTTAAAAACATCATCATTTAACCCCCTTAACCTATCTGCCCAGGGTCAAATGGTCAATGCGTTGGCCCATTAATACAAGCCTCAAGATTGGCTGGCTGGTCTCTGTACCAGTTAATCAGAATGCTTCTCGCATTTCTTGCTCATCTTGCCATTTTAATGGCGGCTTCCATCCATATTTTACGGTGTTCTGTCATTTTATTGCAATTATTTTTTTTGCCTAGTTACCCTTATAATTGCTTTAAAAGTGTGTGATCTTAAAATATGCAAAAAGGGACAAGCACCCATAGTGGAATATTTTAAGCAGCTTTTCACATTGAATCTCTAAGTGTAAAAAAAAATTACATTAATAAATTTTACAAATCAGGATATCAAATCTGCATAAATGTTGAGATTTCAGTTTAATTCATTAAGATCATCTTAGTTCATTCAATTCCCTAAAAGAGTTACCAGTGTGGATGGACACAGAAAGAAGTCATACGGGGTGCGCTCTTTTAAAGCTATTGTGCCTAAATAGTGGAACAGTTTGCCTCAATCTTTGCTTTAAATAGATTTTAGCATGCTAAAATAGCATGGACACAAGCGCTATAAAAGTACTCAATTTATTACAGTCGAACCCACTTATCTTGACCTCGGTTAACTCGCCAACCCTGTTGTCGACGCTTTGAAGTGGAACCTTTGTTCTTAGCGTTTTCTCCTCGGTTATGTCAATTCTTTTATGTATCGGAACCCTGATATCTCGAGCACAAAAGTCGGCCAAATTTGCCAATTAACCTCAATTATCTCGATCCCTAGACCAATTGCTGGCTTTTGAACTCCGCAAGAAGAAATAGCAAACAACAAATAAACAAGTTTTTTAAAATTGCCTTATATAAACTATATAGTCATTGCGCAAGACTCAATCAGCAGAATGAGGTCACAAAATGTGGAGGCTTCGTCTATAGTAGAAAATACCAAACTAACAAGCACTATAGTAGCACAAAAAGTGCTAACGTTAAAAAGTTGATTCTGGTTTCATTTTTTAAATTTGAAATTTGCTCTCAATAACTGTAAGATTTAAAAAATTATTTATTACTTTGTTTACTGAAGTGCCTGCATTTATTAACCCCCATTATGTACATAAAGAAATTTTAAGCACATGTTAATATATTGGCGCCATATTGGTTTTCGGTTATCTCAACGCTTTTTGGCAAACCCAGAGGCCGTCAACATAACCGGGTTCTACTGTATTATTAATTAGTTTATTTTTTAAACATTTTTCTGCCAAATAAATGCAGGGCTTAGTCTTCATGGCACAGACAGTTTAAAAGGCTCCGTCTCAAGAGGGTTAAAATAAAATGCACCTGTGCTTTGTGTATGAACAGATTTCAACTTACCCGGTGGGCTGAAAACTTTGCCTCTCCCACACAAAGCACAATATCACAAAGTTGCTGGTTGATCCGCAACTCTTGCATCACATTGAAAGCTGTGTTGGCCTGGGTTTGGATATGAAATACCCGAGACTCAATCATCTTTCTGAATAATAAAAAAAAAAAAAAAGACTCATCAATTTATATTATAGTCAACGAGCAGTTGGAAATGATGGTAGGCATTTTAAAAATTAGGTCATTGAGTGGTAGTAAAACAAAATGGTAGTGACAAATAGTAAATAAATACATGATTGCAAGTTCCTTGAAATTTAAAGGATCTACTCCCTGATGCCATTTTTTTTTAGTTGACAAAATGATTTGGATTAGATTATCACAAATCTTCAAAAATGATTTATTGGCTGACATGTATTATCAAAACACATGAAAAGCCTTATGATTTAATCAAACTGAAATTTAACATTCCAAATGTCTTAAATTTATTAAAGCAAGGATGTGATGATGTGCACTGGCGTTGGGTTTGATGATGTACATTTTAAAGGGTTTCAACAGAGATCTGCATAACCCAGAATTAAATGAGAAAACTTTGGTGTTTATTAGTAATATTTAAAAAAGAAAAATCAATTTGAAAAATTGTATGTTAATTATGATATTGAAAATATTTAAAAGAAAATAACAGTTCCTTTTATTTTTATATCATGGATTAAATTTTTAAGTGTACAAATCTTAATCTTTCATTAGTTCAGTGATACTTACCCACAACACTGGCAAAAGCCAAGAATTATGGGTTATAAATTACAGTCTGTGGCTTTGACACTGTTGAGATAATGTATGTATTATTTATTGTGCAGATATAAAATATTTGGCTTTTAAGAACTTGTTTTTATAATAATCTAATACCGGTTTGTAGATTTACTTGACAGTTAAATAAAAGCTTACTAAATTATTCCTGTCAGATTAAGCAAATAGTAGGCGTTTTCAGGGAAGATTCTTGTTTAACCATTTAGCACCCTTGTTACAATGACATCACAATATACACCAATCACACGAGAGTGAAGATGTAGAGAACTCATTGAAATTTACCAACAAAAATTCAGATTAGCATGTTGTATTGCTATATCCTTTTTATTTATTCACATTAAACATAGCTTTCAATATTACACATGCTATACATCAAGTCTGTGGTAAAAGCAACTTTTGAGTTCCTTGTAAAATGTTTAATTAGATTTTAAATTAAATGAAAACAGTTCATTGGAACATGTGTTGACTTGTCACGGTTTGTTCAGCCTTTCTGAGTGTACAAAATGAACAAGGCTAGCTAAGGAGCCTTTTTAAAAAAAATTAATATCATGCCAACCATTTACCATGGTCTAAGAAAGAGCTTTATTTCAATACCAAGACACATTATTTAAAAAACAACAAAAAAACATTGCGATCTTTAACTTATTTCCATTGAAAGCAATGTGAACTATTTTATTTGATGTATGCATATGATTAAACTAACTAAATTTTAATATTTCTTTAGGACAGGGGTCAGTAAATCGAGGTGAATTACCCTGAATAGGGTAAAAATTTACCCTGAATAGGGTAAAAATGAAAGACCTATGCTAATGAGGGCTCAAAAAAAATAATTTTTTTAATAAAAAATATTTTAAACCTTATTTCTAAAAAAGACACTCTTTCAAACATGAGTTTAAGCCTACTAAAAATTAGAAGATCATTTAAAAAAAATTGAAGTCAGGATGAGGAAGACTCAAACAACCAAATGAAAGTGCCATGTGTGTCAATAAAAATTACGCTTCAGAAGATGGAAATGTGAGTAGAGTGAAAGTATTTAATTAAAAGCGTGTTTCTTGTTAAGTCAGAAAGTTTTGTTCTGGTATCACTGCTTCTTGTCAATGTAAAATGCACCCAACTAGTTGGTGTTAGTCTTGCAGTGGCTGGGGAGCTAGCACAGAATCACGTCTTGTCTTGTTATATATGGTAGGTCATTTTAGCCTAGCGCCTATCGTTTTATCTAATGCTAAACAATTGTGAGGATTTTATTATATTATCACATTTGCTTGATCCTTTTTATATTTATAATTGCATTCTCCATATAAAAAGAGACAATAAACTATATTTATTACAATTTTTCTCCCACTCAAATGGAGGGGGTAAAGTCTGTGCAAAAAATTGCTATTCAACATTTGTATAAGTATAAATTTGAACTGACCGATGGCTCTGTGGGCACAGGAAGCTTGTTGCAATTTCAAAAATAATAATATCTCTCACATTTGTCGTTCGGCATACACCGATAATCCGTAAGATCAGTTCCATCCGCTAATACCTTACAGTTAGCGCTACAAAAACTCTCGTCGGTGCTCTTGTTCTCTCTCTTCTTGACTATTGCAACTCTCATCTGTCAGGTTCACCAAAACATTGCATAGAAAAACTGCAGAAAGTCCAAAACTCAGCTGCTAGGCTAGTTCTAAAGGTGAAAAAAACGTGATCACATCACTTCACTACTCCACTTCCTTCATTGGCTCCCTATACAGGCACGCATTGACTACAAGTTATCTGTTCTCTGTCACAACTTTTTCTCGGATTCCTGCCCTTCCTATCTAACCGAACTTCTTTCTGTCTATTCACCCCTTCGACAGCTTCACTCCTCCGCAGACACGCGTATTCTGTCCATTCCCAAATCACACACACACTAAAACATATGGTGAACGATCTTTCTCTTTCTGCGCCCCCAAACAATGGAATTCTTTGCCACTATACATCCGCAATATACCAACCACCCAGGCCTTCAAAACTGCACTCAAAACACATCTCTTTAAACTATACTACCCTGACTGATTCCCCTCCTCTGACCGATAAATGATCTTGTTGGCTGCCGTCCATGGTTTGCCTTGTAAAAGTCCTGGGGTTCATGCTGTTCTTTATTTCATAATTGTATTTGATTTTAATGTCATGACTTTGTCTCTTTTGATAATATTTTTATGTACAGCGCAGTGAGCCCAGCCCTAGGCTGGGGTACCGCGCTATAAAAGACCACTAATTATTATTATTATAATAAAGAATTATCAATAGCCAAGTAAATCAAGTATTAATAAAAATAGAAATACGAATGCATAATTTTAACTTAACTTTCACCTTAAAAAAATAAAACTTAAAATTTTAAAATTTGACATGACGGTATGTTAGCTGTAAAGCTGAATGATGTTGCTCTTGCTCATGTTGAGCTTGTCATTGACAATCTGTTTTTTTTAAATTTGATAATGTTCATGGATGAAAATGAGACATTCCATCGATAATTTGAGCCAAAGCACAAAAAATTTTTCTACTACTCATTAATTACTTCTATTTGTCCATCAAAGCCCAGAAAGCACCACTAAAACAACAGGAAGATTTAAGGTAGTGCTTATCATACAAATTAATGACAACCCTTGCCTTACAAAGCTTGCAAGACTCAAAATAGAGTCAGCTAAAATGTGTTCAAATCAGTGGCACAGCTTGGGTTAATGTCACCTGAGCTGGCAAGATTTTGCTGGCCCTCCCCCTAATAAAGTGCCACCCCATCCTCAACCCTCTTTCAGTGGTTAAAATGTTGACATAACTTGAGACATGGGGAGTTTCTCCTGTGAGAAGGTAAAGTTTTGGGTTAGAGGGCGGCAGTAAAACATGTACAATTACAAACCTTACAAAAAACAAGCTTACACAGGATAACCATGCATATTGCCATGTAACTTTAATCTAATGTAATTGATAATTAGATTATGATGTTAAGCTGGTTGTGGGTGTCATTGTTGAATATGTTGTGCACTTTCCTAGCCTGAGCGACTAACTTCTTATCTTAGCCTGAGACCCAATGCGAATAACTAAGTAGACCACAAACAATGACAATCACAGTGATAGTGATCAGTTACTTATTAACCCTCTTGGAACGTATGGGCCAAGGCCCAAGGTGGAGTAGCGAAAATGATGGATGTCCGATCTATCGGCCCGATAATTCAAGCCTCAAGATTGGTTAGTTGGTCTTCGTACTAGCTAATCAGATTGCTTCCTGTATATTGTTGCATTTTAATGGCGGCCCCGGTTTATTGTTTACTAGCTTTTGTTATGTTCAGGAATTTTTTTTGTATAGCTAGTAATATCCTAAAATTCCAAAATGTCTGACATTGACACTGAACAAACTATCTTTAGTGATTTTGATATTGTAGCAGTGAATCTGACACTGATGAAAACAACCCGGAAAGAAATGAAGACGATCAAAATGATGATGTTGATGATAATGTTGTGAACCCTTGGTTTAGTATTAGGGGTCCTCAACTGGATAGAGACAACCCTCTGACAGTATAGGTCCTATAAATATGCCTCAAGGCATGAGCACCCCATTTAAGTACTTTACCATATGTTATTTTTTTACATTAAATATCACTCAGATGTGTAGGAGAGAGTTCAATAGGTATGCAGACAACTTTCTCAGTAACACCCAGCTTAAGAGAAGATCCCTAGGTCCTAAATGGGGGCCTGTAACAGTGAGTTTCTGTAGCAGCTGAAAAATAGCCTGGGACAGGAAAAAGAGTATAACCATGCCACATGCCAGAGGTGTCTGAAATGCTTCCATGGGCCTATTTTCCCAAAACACAAGTGTTAGGACTTATTTAGGCTTCATCCATAAAAAATTTCACACAATTGATAAAAGTAACCCATGTTTATTCTAAGTTTAGCAAAAAATTATGCGCATGAATTATGCAAATCAGGATAGTGCGTTTGCATAAATGTTGAGATTTCAGTTTGATTTATAAAGATTGTATGAGTTCATTCAATTTCCTACTATATAGTTTTATACATGTAAAGGAAATAGTTCATTTTTTATAAATATTTTTTAGGTTAGTGATTTAAGACGTGTTAGTAAAAATAGTAGGATTCACTTAATGACTTAATGAGATGATTTAGTATTTTAGTTCAGTCTCTGTGCCCGGCCCTGGGTATTTCTCACTCACTCAGTCACCACAGTCCCTGCTAGTCTGCAGCTAGGGCAGCTATGATAGTCATAGTGCTATAAGTTATAAGTCATAAGTCTATAATAAGAGTGATTAGAGTGCAACTGCTGTTTCAGTAGAGATGAATTATTTTAAATATTACTTTTCAGTCCTTTAAACACTAGTGCATTTTAAAAATTTCACTATACAGAGTACAAAATAAATTGTGACTGCATAGTTTTTTAAATTTAAAGTACCGTTGTTTTAAGTTTTACAATTCTTACTTTTGAGAGCTCGACATTTGGTTATCGGAGATACATTTGTTTATGTGTTAGACTTATCACAACACCAAATTCCGGAAACAAAAGCCCTAAGTTAATGGGGTCTGTTTAAATTAGGCTATAGTTTATATATAATTTTAGCAAATAAAGAAACATTTATTTTTGCTAGATACAAATTTAATTTTACAAAGGCTTAATTTAATTTTTTAATATGTAATTTTGCGTTTTTAACCAGCGGATTAATATTAAGTATTAAAAAAAAGCAAAAAAAAAACAACTGATTTTTATTTATAAATAGATGGCAAGGGGAATCACTACCAAACAATTTAGTTACAAACATGGCGACTTACACAGGCATGTTGTGATTTTTCTTATTTCTGCCTACAATTTGTTGTCATTTTTATTGGCCAGCGCTTTCATATCTTAGGGATTAACCGGGGTTATATGGGCCTTTATAATATCCAATCAGGTTGCTATATTTTGATAACAATGAACAATGATAATGGTTAGGCTAGGCCTTGTCAGTCACTTGTCTGACCGAGTCCACTCACTCAACTTTCAACAGTACAAGTACAGTACAGTACAGCAACTCAGTCAATCTCAGTGTCAGTTGTTTTACTGACTACAGATATTGATTTGGGTATCGGAGATATAAAATAAATTCAATTTTTTAAAGGACACATGGGTTCACCTTCCTTATGCCTTATGCTACGTATTATTGTTCCCCTTTTCAATACGAACAATTTGAATAATATACATGACATCAATATATTTTGACTTTGAAGAATATTGTAACAATATTGTTCATGTTGTGTTCATATTCAAATATGACATATGGAAATGTTACAGCCATCTTACGGACCGCAGAATTAATTATATGACTTTGACTGACTTAATCTAAAATAGTAAATTTAAAATGAATCAAATAAAGTCTTAGACTTAGACTTAAGGCAGGTCACTCAATGACTCATCACTCACTGACTGCCAAGTCTTCTTATAATTTTTAGGCAGTGTCTACACGTCCGGCGCGTTGGACGTATATCATCCCGCACTATTTGTCCGGCGACCAAGTCACATGACCGCCAGAGCCAGAAGAATATTTTATCGAGATATTCGCCCGGTGACCAAGTCACATGACCGCCGTAACAAAGTGGGACAAGATATTTGTCCGTCAGCCTTGTCAAGTGACCGCGAACGATTCAAAACTATTGTTAATTTTAAAATCTATTTCTCTACCAAGTAATTTACTGAGTATCTTTAAAACAAATAATAGAAAAAAATATTTGAATATTTTACCAAAAGAAAGTGGGGGTTAAGCAATAATGCATTCTACAAGGAAGCAATGCTGAGAGGGAGATATAATATCGATAATAAAAAATAAGAATGCTAAAAAAATTAATAGTGAGGGTGATAAATTATTAAGTTTAAGGCGGGGAGGTCGTAATAGTAGTAGTAATAGTACTACTAGTTAGTAAATAGGCCGACTAGTTTAATATTCAAAAAATACTTTATGCATCTCAGAACATTTGAATATATTAACATGTTCAGCATTTATTTATTATCTATGAATCGGCTGACTAATATAATAATATGTACACAATATTGGAACATCTAATGCAATGCAACTATTTTGCCGGCGACCACTTGTCACATGACCTGCCGGAATAATAAGGCCTACTAGTCGTCCGGCAGTCACGTGACATGCCCACCGGACATATATCTCCTGAACTATTTGTCCGGCATGCTGGACGTGTAGACATTTCGTAATTTTTATAGTGGTAAATGTGTAGTTAGTAGGCTGCATGGCCCGGCATGGGTTTTGGCCAGAGTTGTCTCACCCTACCCTAAGTTGTGCAGTGATGTCACTTTCACTTTGGGGAATCCCAACACTGGATTGAGGGTGACAGGACCAAGAGTTTGAGCTGAACTATGTGTATAAATGATAACTTTCCAGTTCTTAACTGAGCATTATTCGTGTCCATAAACTAATCATAATCCGACAATCAATAGTGTTAATAAGTTAATAGGAAATTAATTAAAATGAAATTTTCCATTATTTTTAAATAAAAATTCAACTTACAAGGTCAGTTCAAAAGAAATAAAAAGAGAAACTCATCCTTGCTGATATCTCAAGATGAAGACCGGAAAAAAGATGCAAGCATTTTTAAAAGTGCTGTCTTTTGATTGGTTGAAAAACAAAGCACCTGTATGCTGTCCATTTTTGTAATGTGGCAGTTAAACGGGACATTTCAAAATAATTTTCTGGGTAGGGGAGACCCAGAACCCCGCTTCCCACTTCTAAGACAAAAATTTAAACATGAGGAAAATTTTTTTCAAATATTTTAATCTTTAATGTGTAATTTTGCGTTTTTAAGCAGATGATTAATTTTAAGTATTAAAAAAGCAACAAAAAAGTACGGACTGAAGTCTGTCTCTTTGATAACATTGTTTTTGATGTTAATATCTCTTTTAGATTTAATTAGAAAAAAAAGAATAAAACTATTTTTCTATATATTAAGGGCCCACGATCAATGCATTGATCATTCTGGCTCCTGTGTATGTAGAGGAAATTCGCTATGTTTTTGTGACTGGTATTGAAGAGGATATTTCATTGGTTGCAAGGGCTACACAGGAAGGGCATCAGGAATGGGGGTTGGAAGGCCTGAGGCAATAGATGCAAACGTGTCAAGTGTTGTCACCTCAACTGTTCCTTTTGGAAGCTTGTTCCAGTCCCTGATTGTCTTTGGCAGGAATGAGCAGTTGTCATGAATTAAATTGTATCCCAATTTTCCCTTCCAAGTTTCAGCTGTTCATTAGTTCATAATTAATCAAACTATGATTATAAACCATTTTTCATACTTTCACACCATGGAGAATGGAGCATGAGTAAGACTTAAGTTGAAATATTTAAAGCATTGAGTATAGCACTATATGAAAATTTGTCTCCACCTAAACCAAGAGAAATCAACACAATTTTGAATTCTGCACCTATATATGATTATAAACCATTTTTCATACATTTATACCATGGAGGATGGAGCATGAGTAAGACTTAAGTTGAAATATTTTAAGCATTGAGTGTGCCACTATATGAAATTTTGTCTCCTCCTAAACCCAGAGAAATCAACACAGTTTTGAATTCTGCACCTACTGATTATTCATTTCTTAAATTTCAGGCTTAATCTTCAGACTTAAAGATAAAGAGACAATCTTACCAGAAAAGATAAAGCTTGCCAAATTTGCATGGATCTCTGAAGATGTTCATATTCCTAATAAACATCAGCAAATTTTAGATTTTATTTGTGGTCTTCTTGTCAATAAGAAAAAGTATGAAGCATAATAGATATTCAATTTAGGTTAACTTTAAGGGTTACTGTATTCATTTCAAAGGTGATTGTTCATAATATTAAGTGTCATAAAAATTAAGATTTAAAATCTAAATAGTAATTTCTGGCCCAATCTGGGATGTAAAATATCCAAGTTGCAAATCTTTTTCTTAAACTCTAACTATTCAAGTAAAAGTCTTTAAATTATTGATTCCAGTGAACAGTGTCATTTTTGCTTTTGTCTTTAACTTATCATGTCTAGTTACTGTGTATTATTGTTTTGGCATAGGCACAACTTTAAAAATAGTGAAGTAGCACTCATATGGAGAACTTTGGACAAGTTTCTCAGTGTGTCAGGATCTAGCGCTATAGTCAAGTCATCAGTATTGTTGGTAAGCATCTATCATACATTTAGTTTTTAAGTGAATGCAGGCTATCTGCACGCTGTACGATATATAAAATGATGATTTTTAAAGAAAAATAAGACACATAGTTTATTAACATTATATTTAATAATGTAAAGTAACTAAATAACATTAGGTACTGGGGCTAAAGATAGAAGAAAATCTTTAAGCAATAAAATATATTTATAATTATATTCTTGATGCTATGTGATTTCCAAAAGGGTTTCAATTTTTTAGACACAGTATCATTTCTTATTGTAATACATAAGTTACATATTATTTTCCAGTTAATGCATAATGGCTGTGTTGCTTATGGTTGAAATGGCTAGAAAGACTTTGCCATTGTATGCTTGTACTTAGTTTTTGTCGTGTTGCGTTTGTTTTAAATGTGGTAAACTATAGATTTGTTGTTTTTTTTTACTTTGTACAGCGCTTCGAGCCTTTGGGGATGAAGCGTGTTTTTGAAATGAACTTTATTATTATTTATTATTATCAATTTTATTATAGTATTAAAGTACATGTAATTCATTTTAAGTAAACTTGAGAGGAAATATTGTTTTATTTGTATGACCAGGCTGTTGTAGATGGATTGAACTCAGTTACTTCTCTGGATGGACTGAACAGTCTTGATGTACCTGTTGATGATCATATCCTGTGCATTATAAATTGTGCTTGTCAATTGCTCACTTTACAATCAGTGGTGTCATCACAGTTTGAGACACTGGTAAGTTGTTTTTTTTTGTGTATGGTTCTTACACTTTTATAAGACTTTGATTAATTATATTCATTATTCTAGAATCTAGATGATTCAAACATATTTTTTTTTACTAGAGATCAGTCAGTATTTATTATAGTCATTAACAAATCCAGTCTATCATTTAAATAAAGCCAAAAATAACATGGTATATCATGCAAATTTTTTTTTAATGGTAGGTCTCAAAAATTACTTTATTTTTCTGGAAACTTTTCAGTGCTCAGTACTTGCTTCTGTGTGCCATCTGTTACTAAACAACAGTTTTGGAGACACAATTTTCAGCAGGTTACAAGAATTTCTACATGCAATAATTGTTGTTCTGATTAGATGTCACAGATCTCATCTTGTGCAAGCACAGGTACTATGGAAAGTCATGTCCAACATATTAAATGCCATTTAAATCATTGGTGTCCAAACATGTTTGCAAGTAGAGTCTCATCTTAACATTTCACTGTGGTGTTAAAATGTAGTTTTTAAAAACTATCAAATAAAATATTCAAATTTTTAGGTCAATAAATGATATTATTTAAGTTATTTCCTATAAGTGAATTTAGATTCCAATTAATCATCTTTTCTGACG